AGCTTTCATTCTATTTATCTTCAACTAACTTTCATGGTGGTAATTATATGGTTAATTAACCTTGACATCAGGGAGATAGCTTTTACATTTAGGGTTTTTTAAGGAACTAAAAGCTTGGTTTAATTACCGAGAGTTGAAAAACGAGACTAAAGTTTTTGATCCCCAGGAAAGCAAAAAGTCAAATTTGGTTCTCAATTTCCGCCTTCTTTTAATTAGTTACCTAATATGATCCGGAAGGTTATAATAATGAATTGTGTAATGCATGTAGGTGAACCTCCAATGGGTTTCATTTATAGCTACTTCCAATTGAGAAGGGGCCCTGCCTAAGTCCAAAGATTTCTTAACAGAGTGCACCCTAATAAAGCCTATGTTTTTGTCATGCTCCCGAAATGTTGACTGACCAACTATTTACCTTGCTAACACATTTAACCGACGCAGTATTATCTCCCATCGCTAAGAGGATGAAGTTGTAATCAAAAGAGTGTTCAAATAAAAGATTAATTTGCCAGTTCTTAAATAATTATTACCGCGATGTCTAAACGTCGTTCTGAGCGATGATTACAGGGTTTTTGGGACCTTTTGAGCCGATATTCGGCAACATTTTTACTTTGGGTTTTTAACCCTGCTTCTTCACAAAGTGTTTTTACCACTTAACGCTAACGTGCTGAAGGAACCAGCAATAATCTAGTTAACATCAATGTTATATATAACTTGGGAAGAAGTTTGTAAGCAGTAATTTTATCGACTTCCTCTTTCTCCTCGCAACAGAGTCTGCCTTGGCGACGACAACTTATAAACTTACCATTTGGAAAAAGTAGTTCGCTTTATTGTGATAATGTTCCATATAATACAACCACGCCCCCTTCTCCATTATCTTTCGCAGCACTTGTAACCAGATTGAAAGATAGCCAAGGACGGTCATCTTCTTTAGGTGTGTTTTAAAATTAAGAATTATATCCAGTTCCATTAAGTCAATAAGTTCTTGTTAATTTTGAATCTTAGAACGGAAGTCGTTGGCATTTCCTGCCAAATTCTTAAAGATCTACGAGCTAATTTCGCTTGATTATAACAATATTTATTTAAGTTTGACATGACCCCTGTATAGTTTTTGCTAAATGAAAGCTAATCGCATTTGTGAGTGGTGCTACAAACTTGTTCGTTATATCCTTTGAGGGAGACATATTAGTTATATTAATACCTGTTTAAAATGCTGTGCATAGCTTACAATTTTTCCGATGTAAACTAATTTTTCTGAGGCTTTATATATATTTATTGAGTTCTTATGGATGGATTTCTCGGATGGTATACGCAACCTCTATAGTTAAAGGATGCCCACTTCCATTGCGATTGGCGCAGGTTGGCTAATCGTTCGCGCCTTTACTGCAGGTCTTCGATTCGTTAGAATTACCACATTTGACACATTTATAGCTTAATATACAGTAATTTTCGGTATGTTCAAAAAGTTAACACAGTTGTAGGCACTGATCTGTCCTCCCGCTTCAATTCAGGTATTAACCGACACAGCAAGACTCTTTAGGTTAAAGATCTTTAAAATTCGCCTTTAGGCAACTTGACAAGAAGAAGAGGAAGTAGTGGTCTTTCTTTTTTAAATGAACGCACCCTAAAATGAAAAAACATAGCAAATATATAAACTTCCACACTTTTACATAAAGAAACCTTTGATATATTAACCATACGAACTTAAACATGTACACTGCATATATATGAACAAGGTATTTAAAGGCAACGTATAAAACAAAACGCAAAAACTAACTAACAAACAATGAATATACCAAAAAATTTATAAAAAAATGGTCATTTTGAAATTAGAATTACGACTAATAAAAATGTTGTTTCCATGTCAACTTAACAAAAACCTTATTATCAAATTAACTTGAATTAAATTGAAACAAATAATTAAGTTCCGTACAACTAATTTTATGGGACGGAAATACAAATAGGGAAAAGTTAATTAACACGTTTTTATTTTAAAAAGGTACAAAAAAAGAGCAATATTTGTAAAAATAATCTAAGAAAGAAAATTATAAACAAAAATAAAAGTGATTTTTTAACCTTTTGGAAGTTTATAAATACAATTTTTTGTTAGCAAATAACTCGCCAAAGTTTATACGCTCTTGCTCTCAGTATATCGTTTTTCTTGTTACGTTCTTGCCACTTTAAACGGGTTAAACCCCCGAGAGACAAAATCTGACTTAACATTTTCCGTATTACTCTCTGCAAAAATACCTCAAATAACCACTTTAAACTCTTTCTCTCTAGGCAACCTGATTTGTATAATATTTCACGTAATAACTCAAGGAGACATTGACACGGATTCCTTGTATTAATCCTTAAGCGCCTATGTTTCTACTTTGTGGTCAGTACTTGTTTATTAGTAAATTCCATAGTAGTGATGAGAAGTCTTCTAATTCTGAAGGCTGGTGGTTTCTGAAGTGGATATAATTTTACAATTGTTATTATTAGTATTAGTAGTATAACTATTAGTAGCATTATCTATACCACGCCTAACAAGATTATTATTACTATTTATTTTGTTTTTAAGAAATCTTTTAAAATCTTAATCAGGCTTCTTAGCGTTGAACATGACGGTTTTGTTTATGTCAAAAGCCTTTTTATTGATATGATTTAGTCATAAATATATTGTAGCTTTTGAGATCGCTTTATTTATTTTGTTTACAACCATTATTATAATGTTTTTTATTTTTATGTTAATACTACTATTTGTTAAATTTACTGGTTTCTAGCATAACGCTATCCTCTATACGCCCTTCCTTAAAAGGGCAAGGTTCATTTTACGTTAAAGGAGTGATTATGGATTGTTGTTAGTTTTATTATTTATAGTGGATAACCCCACAGGCCCCCTTTCTTCTAAAAATCACTTTTCCGCAACTTACCTTCTTCAGAGGACCTAATTTCGTCTATAAAGTGTATATTTCTTTTCTTAGCTCAGCAGTCTTGGCCAACAAGTTGGTATGTTAACTTGCTAAGTGGAGGTGGTCATAGAGCGGAGCTTTTTATGGCAGCAGAGTTAAAGCAAAGTCAAGTTAAAATATAATTACAACAGGAGTTTAAGTTTCAAGGCCTCCTGTTCCGACCAATTGCAAAACAACTAAGTGTAGAGTTTAAAACCGAGCACTTAACAAGATTTTTAATTAATGTAATTAAAAGCATGCATAAAAAAAGTACCTATTCAATATCTAATCAAAAATGATTTATGAACCAACTAAATATTTTAGATAATTTAATAATATATTAAACTTTAGAGTAAACAAGAAACGCATAGGTTAATCTAATTATCTCTTTGTCACTTTATTTTTTTTTTAATTTTATTTCTTTTTTATGTATTTTATTCAAACTTTTCGATACTATTTTTATATTAGTTCATATCTTTCTATAATTTTCTCTAAATTCTTTAGTATTATACTAGAATTTTTGAGGGTGAGGTTACATGCGCAACCATCCAAGACCGAGAAGAGAGCTACGTCGGTGGGACTCAAACCCATGGCCTTGAGTTTGCGCGTCAATGCTCTTAATCGCTAAGCTACGGCAACAACTATCGATCCCAGTATGATGTTTTTACGTATTTAACCTGTCTTTCGTGATCTGGAAACGCGTTACATCTATAACACTTGTATGCCATCTCTTTGTGTCCAATACTTTAACGTATGCATTAAGTTTTATAAAGCATTTGGCGTTACGACGTATACTTTATTGGGTCGTGGCGGCCCATGCGTTTTCGAAAAGGTCGCTTTCATCTGTATATGCGTCATAGTCGTTGCTGTAATTTTGTTACAGCGATGTCGTGTCATAATTATATTCTTCATCTCTTCGATAGATTAAACAGTCATTTTGAGTAAATATTTAAATTTAGGTTGGCACGGCGCCATCTTCTTAAATTTACACCGCTACCGTATCATGGCTACTAGATGATCAAGTCTCTTCGCAGATCGCTATATGCTACCTTCATTTTTTCTTGTTTTCAGTGCTTTTGAGTTTGCTATCAGGGTAACTAGTATTTTTGACCATTGCACTTTTAACGGTTTAGTCGTTTTAGTTTTGCTTTTACGTCACCATGTAAGCTGCCCTTCAAAACTTTCATTCCAAGTGCAGCCTTCTTTAGTAATTTGTATTTAAAAGTTAGTTTTTCACCTATCTGCTCCCTAATAAAGAAAAGATCATTTATTTTCTGTTCATTTAATACTAATTTAATATTTAAAAACCACTTCCGCAGTTGACTGCTCTCTCTTAGTACCTTTACCAACTTGGGGTGGTAATTAGCTTTTTAAATAATCCACACCCTGTGTTTTGGTAACTTCTTCGTGATTACAAAGTAAAAAATTCAAAGCTAAAAAAATTATTTCTTATAAAATATGATAGCTATGAAGTATATAACACTTGCTTGAAACAGCAGTTCGGGTTAAATATAGTACTATTGCCACTAATTCAAATAGATTTGGTTAATCAAATTAAGCAGTTTTGTCCAATGAGATTGAGCACTTCCTGTTTAGTATAACAAATATATTTTAAAGTTTCCTTATTTGTAAATATAGAAAATTTGTGTTTTACATGTGCTTTGTTATTTTTAAAACATTGCTAATTATTTGATTATATATATTTGTTAATTGTATGGCTGACCGTGTATGAATACGGTCTGATGCTTTAAACTAAGATTTGCCGGACACAATTTTCTCATCCTTTTACCGTCTTAGACGCAATGCTACCACCAATGGCTTGCTTTGACACTGGCCGTTTGACTCTGAGCACAGTAGTGGTTGAATTAAAAAACTTAACATAATATTAGTTAATTAATAAATTACGTTAAACATTTTAACCTAAAAAAAAAGGGTAATGTATACTATTGCAACTTTGATTTGATATATAAAGGGTGATTACGCTAATAATCACTCGGCTATTAATAGTTGTTGCCACAACTTGATGACCTTCAAAATTTATGCGTAAGGGATTCAAATTTTCCTGTAGCAGCTTTGTATGTGAAAGTGGCTTGTGTAACTCGCTCTTTTTTTTAACCTCCTACTATCAAACTTTGTTTAATCGAAGCATCGGGAATAGACACTTTGGGGTTTACAGTTCTCAGTTTAGTGGCCTACAATAAATTAGGCTGTAGTTATTAGCCATTGAGCGCTATAAGAAGTTGCAGTCGCAATTTTGGGTAGATTGTAACTTAATAAATATGTTTCAAGTTAACAAAAATATTAAGAACGACTTTTCAGGACTTAAAAAAAGGCAGTAATTCCGGTATAACTTTTAAAAGAGCGCTTAAAAAAAATACCGTATTGTGTTCACAAAGTTCAAATTGTTTTCCTGATATATATAAATTTTTTTTTAGTTTATATAATGATTTATAGTATGCTCATATTTATCTTTATACTAAAAAGTTAATTACTGAGCCATTTATTTTTTAAAAAGTTTATATGCCATACTAAATTTTTATTTTTTTGTCACACCTAGAAGAAATGTTTCAAGAAGACTGTTATCTTCAATTATGTGAAACGGAAACAGGTGAGCGAGTTAGAAAAGTAGAGGTAACAAACATGCGCGTCGGAGAAAAGTATCAAGCCAACCTTAAAGAATCAACAGGGCTGCTTTCTTCTCCTCAGTCCAAAAGCCTGCTCATATGGTCCCCTGTGCCCCTCCTTTTTGAAAAAAGACGTAATTTTTTTTTTGTTTTTTATATATCTTTGATATATTATTATTCGTTTACTAACGTAGAGCTTTTTAGTTGATGAATTCTGCAATATTGTTCGCTCCAATCTCTTGACGTGCAGCAGATATCGATTAGAGTACGCCTTGTATTCACTCCATCAGAACAAATACAGTTTCCCAGTATGGTTTTTCTTAATGTTTACTTTACTCTATTGCTCCCTCTTCTCTTTAATACAGAATGCTCTGTACGATCTTTTTAGTGGTACAGCCACTGAAGAATGGGGTATATATCCGGAATGGAGCGAACTCGAAACGGCTAATTTTGAAAAAGGATTTTTATTGCATGGAAAAAAATTTCATTTGATTCAGCTTTTGGTTTTCTTATTAGTCGAGTAGAAAGTTTATCAGCTTAAACGCCATTACAAATAACAATAGATCCCCTCCAAAACGGTCTCATGTATTATTCAATACTATTACAAATGGAAAAAAATTGAGAACACTAAATATCGTTATATACTCGGACGCCAGCGAAAAGAGATTTGTCCCTCACAAAAAGTTAACTTAGAGAGGAGGGTAATTTCTTTTGTTTACTTTATAAAAACTGTCTAACTAATTTAACTCTGTAGCCCGGCATTTGCGCTTTGCGCCGAGGAATAGAAGGTATTAAATAACAGCAATATGGGCTATGGCTCCTTTTATTTCTTTTCTTACCAAATTTTTTAAAAGTCGGAAGAGAAGGACAAGCTTCAACGGACGAGTGTACGGCTCCAAAAGAATCCTGGAGCAGTCCTAAATCCTCTAAGCTGCTACTAACTTCTCAAAAACGTTGCGTTTCGCCATCTTCTTCGAATGGTTGTACCGTGTGTGACACTAAAAGCTTGGTTCTGTGGCAGCGTGGCCACAATTTATAAGCCAAGCAAGAGTGCACAGACCCTCCGACACCATTTAATTTATTATAAATGGGTTTTAAAAGTAGTGAGGGGGATAGCAAAAATATTGTAATTTGTACACTTTTTCAATTTATAAGGCAATAAACGATCACTAGCACTTATATATAAACTGTATGGAGAATAACCAGTATTGGCTGACGTACAAACAAAGTGTGGTTAGAAAAAAACGGTTTGGATGTATAAAAGCTACAAGCTTACTTATATTTTTATATTCATCCACTTTATAGATTAGGCTTTATTTTGATAAAAAACGGTATAATGAACTAGAGGCCGGTCAGTTTTAAAGGTGGAGAAAGAGAGCAAGTTACCCAGTTATTAAGTAAACACAACTTTATTCTTTCACGCTAAAACAATCGAGATCTATACTCCTTATTTAGCGAGATCTTTATCTTTTTATCCTTGTTTTGAAAAAAAGAGGAAGTAAAGGGACCATACAGGCAACGGTGCCAAAATTTTCAAGTGCGGATAAATTGCTGCCCTGCAATACATGAACGTCGTCAAACTTTACTTCGAATAGGTTTCTTTTCACTTTAGTAATAGCGCCGTTAAACAAGTCAAACCTCGTCTACTTAAATTCTACAAGTACTCTAAAATTTTAAATGAAATTTGCTCCGTTATTAATTAGAATGACTCGAGTAGTGTTGACCTTTCGATGCAAGAATTTATTCCTTTAAAAAAAAATTGGTTTATCAAAAGTTGAAAAAATCAAAAGAAAAAGAGTATAAAAAGTCTTTTTATGTGTTTTTACTTAAAAAATTTTAAGTATTTGTATGTTCATATATGAAACATTGCGCATGGCGATAAAAAATGTTTTCACTTCTCTTGAAGTTCGCAGAAACAATTTTAAATTTAGTTTAAGCATAGGCGTAAAATTAGAATTTCAGCAGTGTACATAAGTCAAGTTCTTGCAAGTAGGATTTTCGCAAACGGTACACGCTTTAGTTCATAAAACTGTTATTAGATTGCTCTGCCGGAGTCAAAGAGAAGTTGTCTCAAATATGATACTGTATGCATATTAGGGTCAACTAATTTATTGCGATACATTTAAGGTTTTTATAGGGTTCAAGGTTCCTCTTTATCAAATTCGGTCTCAGCGTTTAAAACGTCGTTTAAGTATCTCCGTTTGCTTTTGTGAACTTAGCTCGGTAACCATTACAGAGAGAATCTTTCCTTAAAACATACGTGAAAGCTTTAAACTAAATAAGTATCTCTCCATAAACTATCTTATCCTTAACAATCTCCGCAAGTATTTATAAACGGACCAAACGGCAACCTTTAGACACGTTTGTAAACAATTTTCAGTGTTGCATTCTCTCAACAGCTCAAAATATCTTTTCTAAGTTTGCATCTAATAACATTGCTTTTATACCATTTTAGTTTTTGTTTTTTTTAGCTTTAAAGTTTTAGGTGCAAACTAAGTTCCGGTTATGACTCGAAATTTATACAATTCCCTTCTTTTGAGGTAACTTCGGACCATTGTCCGTCTATATGGGGCGCAGTTATATATATAGTACTAGTACCTAGTATCTACCATAGCTAGGGAAATTCACTAGTATCCAGGGACCCAACACCGAAGAACAGTGCAGGTTCCATAGACACAACTAAGACCACTCCAGACTAGCAAAAGGTACAAGTACAATAGAAGCGCCTAGCTCACAGATGCAGATCGAGCCGAGAGAAGTGCCCGAGTCAAACACCTGTGCTAGTGTCTACACTATGACACGACGCAGCCGCCTGCTGCCACCGTGCACCCTGGAAAGTGCATAGATAGAGGTAACATCACTCATCACTAGACAAGTCATTCTGTTTGCTTTCGTCTTTGATACTCACATAACAGAACTTTAGTCTAGCAACTTAGCTATTTTACACTAAGATTTAGTTAATAAACGGTATATCTCTTAGCTTCAATAGATCTTCATTCACTACGCCTAAGGAGGAATAGCTGCAGAAGACAATGCTAGTACTCAACGCTGAGCCTTACGATGCAAGTTAATTAGCTCGAACCGTAACACAACCCAGTCATTCAACTAGCGAGCAAGTCTGGTAACGTCCTGGTTACTTCAAAATGAGCACTAGCCAAATACAGGTAAGCTAAAACCTGCTTCAAGACATAGGCTTACTATAAGTTTTTATCATTTTTAAGAGCATGTCTTTCAACACGTGCGTCTCAAGCATAACTTGTAACAAGATCAAGCTAGCCAGCTATTGCAGCCTGCGTCTCTCCTCAGTACCGTTAAGCTCACAACTCAGAGCCTCAGTCAGGAAGGTACCATAATCACGATTCATTGGGGTGGTAAGTAATTCGCTATTAAGTTCAAGTACCAAATCGGATACTAGCCATGTTTGACCTGAGGTTTAATATATAATCCACCTCAGCAAAGGGCTTGAAGAAGTATAATTGACGAACGCCGCAGAATAGAAGAGGGTGACATGACCCGACCAAAGATAAGTTTACTTCCGAACGGTATTCCACCTAATGATGATGACCTTCCGAGCTGCTTGGATCGAAACCCGCGGCAACCCTCGAGGACTAACGTTATAGTAAGAACGTTTTTTATATATAGGACCAATCTTTTTTGGCCACTTTTACTAACAGGCGCCTGTGAACCTTAGAGTCTAGTTCGTTACTAGCCTGCAGAGTGTACAACATGGTCGGAAAGCCGAAGCTCACAGTAAGGTCCACCACTTCGAACCAAACCATCACCGTTGAGGTTTAACCCAAAGAACCTTTCTTTAAATCGTGGCAGATGATAGCCTAGATCGCGATGACCGCATGGACCATGAAGGATGCATCGCACGTCCCGAGTAAAATGTGTAAGTTAAAGGACGTGCGAAAGCAACGAGAGCAGGTATCTGCTCTCTTATTACGTGTTTTTCAGCACCTTAAGAGTGCCAAAATTGACGTTAAAAATTACACAATAGTGCTTCTACTAGGGAAAATAATATACAGAATATAAAGTGAGTTTAGTTTAGATAGAAGCACTAAACTATAAAAAAATTATTTTCATTTTAATTTTATAAATTATTTTATTTTATTTATTTTTTACAATTATTTTATTTATTTTTATAAATTCTATTATTTATTTAAATTTTTCTTTATTTATTGAAAATTATTTTATTAAAGTAATTTTATTATTTAAATTATTTTTATAAATTATAAAGCAAATATAGTACAAACTAGTAAGTAGCCCTATTGTGTGTGTATAATTACATCTAACTTTTAATTTGGGAAGGGCATGTAAAAGTTTGTCTATAAAGATAACCACATCACCAGTTTACAACTAGCTGATTAACATCTAGATAAAATGTCAATAAGGCTACTTTGTATCACTCATTAACATAACCTACATAATATTGGCTTAGGTTTGCACGTATCTACTAGCATTAGGTTAACTTAGCTCCTAGAACCAAGGTTGATTTAGTTCCAAGAGATCTACTTTTATCGCTTTGATAAGTTTCGATTGGAGCCAAAGGACTCAAGTAGGCAATACAGCTAGTATAGTTTCGCCGAGACATTGCTCGAAAGCATTCATTGTCTGTTTTTATTATCATCATTAGGCTAGCTGCTAGCTCAAGTGCCTGATGTCAACTTTATTTAAAGCTGAACATGTTTATGCAAGCTACTAAACAGCTCAAAGGAATTACACCTTCTAAGGCCTAACGTCACTCGACTGTTTTACCATTTTTAAGAGCAAATCTTTCGATCCGCAGGCTTTACTTAGCACTCTCCTCGGTCTACGGGTGCTCTCGTCGCTATTTTTCCAAGCAAAGCAACCATAATCATAGCCTGAGGTTTTATCTTACTTTGTGTGCTAAAATGCTAACTAGAGTCTACTTGGTGTTTCAACTAAAGCCAAAGCAAGCCTCAGGCTATAGAGGGTTACATCACCAGGATATTTCGTAACTACATCACACATTGAATCAACCCGAGGATGGACATCTGATACGTGCAACATAACCGGTTAGATCAGGAAGCCGTTGTCAGAGTAAACATATCGAGCCCAACGGCGAATTTAACTATAAGACCGATTTAACTTTAAAGCAAAGTTTCATTCTACTCTTTGCTAGTTTACCTTGAAGCAGAGTTTGACTTTCGTCAATTGACTTAGGCTGCTACAGTTCTATAGATGAACTTAATTTTGAGTACTTTGAGCTTAAAAGTTAGTACTTGTTGGTTTACTTTATTACGGTTGGGTAATAAAATTAGCAGACATAATCTCAAGGTTATTTTTAAGATAGTTGGTTGTTTACATAATAATACTGACTAGATTCGAACTAGTTTCTCCAAAGTCTATCGACTACAGTAAAGAGTTAAACTTTGGTAGAAAAAACTAACTACCAAAGCAGAACGAAAAAACAAAGGAAATTTAAAAACTTTCTCTTCTCTATATCTAGCGATCCCATTTTCTTTCGCCTGTGGGACGATGTCATAGACATCGCCTGTCGACTCAGTTTACTGAGTGCACCGACAGGTCTTGCTGGTGAACAAAGAGAAAGTTTTTAAATTTCCTTTGTTTTTTCGTTCTGCTTTGGTAGTTAGTTTTTTCTACCAAAGTTTAACTCTTTACTGTAGTCGATAGACTTTGGAGAAACTAGTTCGAATCTAGTCAGTATTATTATGTAAACAACCAACTATCTTAAAAATAACCTTGAGATTATGTCTGCTAATTTTATTACCCAACCGTAATAAAGTAAACCAACAAGTACTAACTTTTAAGCTCAAAGTACTCAAAATTAAGTTCATCTATAGAACTGTAGCAGCCTAAGTCAATTGACGAAAGTCAAACTCTGCTTCAAGGTAAACTAGCAAAGAGTAGAATGAAACTTTGCTTTAAAGTTAAATCGGTCTTATAGTTAAATTCGCCGTTGGGCTCGATATGTTTACTCTGACAACGGCTTCCTGATCTAACCGGTTATGTTGCACGTATCAGATGTCCATCCTCGGGTTGATTCAATGTGTGATGTAGTTACGAAATATCCTGGTGATGTAACCCTCTATAGCCTGAGGCTTGCTTTGGCTTTAGTTGAAACACCAAGTAGACTCTAGTTAGCATTTTAGCACACAAAGTAAGATAAAACCTCAGGCTATGATTATGGTTGCTTTGCTTGGAAAAATAGCGACGAGAGCACCCGTAGACCGAGGAGAGTGCTAAGTAAAGCCTGCGGATCGAAAGATTTGCTCTTAAAAATGGTAAAACAGTCGAGTGACGTTAGGCCTTAGAAGGTGTAATTCCTTTGAGCTGTTTAGTAGCTTGCATAAACATGTTCAGCTTTAAATAAAGTTGACATCAGGCACTTGAGCTAGCAGCTAGCCTAATGATGATAATAAAAACAGACAATGAATGCTTTCGAGCAATGTCTCGGCGAAACTATACTAGCTGTATTGCCTACTTGAGTCCTTTGGCTCCAATCGAAACTTATCAAAGCGATAAAAGTAGATCTCTTGGAACTAAATCAACCTTGGTTCTAGGAGCTAAGTTAACCTAATGCTAGTAGATACGTGCAAACCTAAGCCAATATTATGTAGGTTATGTTAATGAGTGATACAAAGTAGCCTTATTGACATTTTATCTAGATGTTAATCAGCTAGTTGTAAACTGGTGATGTGGTTATCTTTATAGACAAACTTTTACATGCCCTTCCCAAATTAAAAGTTAGATGTAATTATACACACACAATAGGGCTACTTACTAGTTTGTACTATATTTGCTTTATAATTTATAAAAATAATTTAAATAATAAAATTACTTTAATAAAATAATTTTCAATAAATAAAGAAAAATTTAAATAAATAATAGAATTTATAAAAATAAATAAAATAATTGTAAAAAATAAATAAAATAAAATAATTTATAAAATTAAAATGAAAATAATTTTTTTATAGTTTAGTGCTTCTATCTAAACTAAACTCACTTTATATTCTGTATATTATTTTCCCTAGTAGAAGCACTATTGTGTAATTTTTAACGTCAATTTTGGCACTCTTAAGGTGCTGAAAAACACGTAATAAGAGAGCAGATACCTGCTCTCGTTGCTTTCGCACGTCCTTTAACTTACACATTTTACTCGGGACGTGCGATGCATCCTTCATGGTCCATGCGGTCATCGCGATCTAGGCTATCATCTGCCACGATTTAAAGAAAGGTTCTTTGGGTTAAACCTCAACGGTGATGGTTTGGTTCGAAGTGGTGGACCTTACTGTGAGCTTCGGCTTTCCGACCATGTTGTACACTCTGCAGGCTAGTAACGAACTAGACTCTAAGGTTCACAGGCGCCTGTTAGTAAAAGTGGCCAAAAAAGATTGGTCCTATATATAAAAAACGTTCTTACTATAACGTTAGTCCTCGAGGGTTGCCGCGGGTTTCGATCCAAGCAGCTCGGAAGGTCATCATCATTAGGTGGAATACCGTTCGGAAGTAAACTTATCTTTGGTCGGGTCATGTCACCCTCTTCTATTCTGCGGCGTTCGTCAATTATACTTCTTCAAGCCCTTTGCTGAGGTGGATTATATATTAAACCTCAGGTCAAACATGGCTAGTATCCGATTTGGTACTTGAACTTAATAGCGAATTACTTACCACCCCAATGAATCGTGATTATGGTACCTTCCTGACTGAGGCTCTGAGTTGTGAGCTTAACGGTACTGAGGAGAGACGCAGGCTGCAATAGCTGGCTAGCTTGATCTTGTTACAAGTTATGCTTGAGACGCACGTGTTGAAAGACATGCTCTTAAAAATGATAAAAACTTATAGTAAGCCTATGTCTTGAAGCAGGTTTTAGCTTACCTGTATTTGGCTAGTGCTCATTTTGAAGTAACCAGGACGTTACCAGACTTGCTCGCTAGTTGAATGACTGGGTTGTGTTACGGTTCGAGCTAATTAACTTGCATCGTAAGGCTCAGCGTTGAGTACTAGCATTGTCTTCTGCAGCTATTCCTCCTTAGGCGTAGTGAATGAAGATCTATTGAAGCTAAGAGATATACCGTTTATTAACTAAATCTTAGTGTAAAATAGCTAAGTTGCTAGACTAAAGTTCTGTTATGTGAGTATCAAAGACGAAAGCAAACAGAATGACTTGTCTAGTGATGAGTGATGTTACCTCTATCTATGCACTTTCCAGGGTGCACGGTGGCAGCAGGCGGCTGCGTCGTGTCATAGTGTAGACACTAGCACAGGTGTTTGACTCGGGCACTTCTCTCGGCTCGATCTGCATCTGTGAGCTAGGCGCTTCTATTGTACTTGTACCTTTTGCTAGTCTGGAGTGGTCTTAGTTGTGTCTATGGAACCTGCACTGTTCTTCGGTGTTGGGTTCCTGGATACTAGTGAATTTCCCTAGCTATGGTAGATACTAGGTACTAGTACTATATATAACTGCGCCGCTCCCTCTTGACTTGATAATAAGTTCCTAAATTATTTTTAAAGAAAGATTTTAATAAGTTGTGTGCTTAATCTTTTCTTCTTGCAAATAGAATTTAGTTAAAATTTGTTAGCTCGCGTACGAGAATTATAAACAAGCGTGAACCTTCCGAAGATTTTGATTATGAACCATGTAAATCCATGTTAAATTCTTCGCACACTTCAAGGTGGGCTTCAAGTAGGTGGTTCCTTCTTATTTTCGTCTTAAAAATTACTTCGTTAAATGGTTCACGAGAAAAGCCGATAATACAATACATAATAATATCTGCCTAGTTTAAACCTCTTTCTATCCGTGTTTACCCTGCATGTCTAAGTTCTCGTAGTCATACCTAATGTAAACTGGCTGTATAAGAGGCTTCATCACAAACACAAACAAGCATTTTTGGTGAACAGATTATCATCTCTGACCTGGCACATAGATCTTTTATTTAGGTATATAAATTGGTATTTCCTGGTGCTCGATCGGGTCATAAAAACACCGAATTTTCTCACCTCTTGAGAGAGTGATAGCATCCTAATAAAGCTTGCACTAAGGCAAGCTCATATATATATATATCTACGTACCTAGCCCTAACCCCTTTCATTATCCAACAAGTTCGAAGTGCATTGCGCTCTTGATAGCTGTCGGTAATCACCCAAATGGTGTGCTGAGTAAGCCATTCGTAGGTGGCAAAAGCATTGCATTGAAGAACTGTAGTTAGGGGCTTAAGTTGGAAGCCTTAGTGTAAAGCGTCACTTCGAACAAATCACAGCAAATCTTACCTATCCCACAGGGTTGCATCCACATAATATTACCAATGTTCCCCCAATACTCTGTTCCTCTCCTCTAGCTTCCAGGGTTTTTGGCAAGCGTTTATTCAACTCTTCGAAGAGTCGGAATTTTTTTAGTAGTTTCTTGTCCAAAAGACTTGACAACTTGCTGCGGAAACAAGAGAAACCGTCCATTAACATTCAATTTATACTGGCTTTGGTTGTCAAGGTGCTCATAACCTTTACAAGAAATTCCTGTTTAGGTCGATGGCGAGTAACTTTACATTGTTTCTATAAAGTGACGATCCACAAGTTCTTTTATAGTGACTAATTCTTCCACAAGTGTAAATTACTATTCCTTATCATACGGTTAACCATATTCTTTTAATTTGGATCTTCTGCTGAATTTAATCTTAAAAGACCGTCTTGCCTGACCTTTACTGTAAATGTGACTGCTATTTAAGCCAAAAAGCAAATTATAGACCTTCTTGGTCTTATTTGCTTAATTAAAATAATTTGCTAAGCTTGAGCTAGTCAAGCGACGATTTTATAAGTGAGTTTCTCTCTCCTGACCCTTCAACTTAAACTTTTATACAGAACCAATAAAAGCGTGTAGTTAAAACACTATCACGTATTTCAGTATTGGTATTTATACAGGTACTTCATCTCCAGAACTAGGTGTAGTAGGCAGGAGTTTTATTTTTAAAAAGTTAGCAAACAGGAGTCTCAAGTTTTGTTTAAGTGATACATATGTGTTAAGTTTTATTTGCCTTTTACTGTCCTCCCATTTTACATCACTAATCTCTCTGGCCTCTATGCAGCAAAAAAAAAAATTGAATAGAAAACGTTAAGTTTAGCTGTTTTATCTTGATGGTCACATTTATTATATTGTCAAGTGCTTTTAGGTAGATTTAAACTCGTACTTTTTCCATTTTAAAACCCATGTGAGGTGATTTGAGAAATTTAGAGGCTTTAATAACCACCCTTTACTCTGCTTTTAACTACTTTCCTTAAATAGTAGAGCAGGGATTTTTCAGCTGTGAAAAATAACGTCTTAAACTGTTTGCTCTTGTAGGACGTGCGGTATGAAGCGCAAGGTGTGAAAATTGATTTCGACAATGGCAGAAAATAAGACAAAACAAAAGCACACAAAAATACCCTATAGCCTTAAAAGAATTTGTTAGAGAATGAAAAGGCTATATTTTTATATTTTTATATTTTTGATAAACAAAATACAAACACTCAAAAACAAATATTCCTCGATAAAACGTAGTGGTATCACCTAAGCCAGCTTTACCATTACCTCCAAAAGTTGACGACCAACATAAGAGGTGTATTAAATATTAAGAAATCAAGTCCTAACAAACAATACTACATTTTCTCTCTGCACAAACCTATCTAAATGAATAGCTCACTAATTAAACTGGCCTCTTAAAAAATTATCCTGTATGTAACCTCGTGTATAAATAGATTACCACATGAAGGCAATGTTTTAGTGTGTTTGATTGTTTTGACTTGTGGTTGGTATGAAGTTATTAACGTATAACTTCTTGACTTGTCCCTCAAAGGTTTTTAAAATAATAATTTGTATTTATTTAAAAATGACATTTACTTAATGTTTCCTTGATTTTATATATATCACTATTTGATTTCTGATGGTCATAATTTATTCTAGTCTTGTGAAGATAAAATCTCTACACTTCGGCTTCTTGAACCTAAAATAGAATTTAAACAAGTTGCTTATAATCGAAATTTTTTGGAATCTATGCTCCCTAAAATTAACTGGGAAGCTTTTGTTTTTGCGGCTAATGTAAGTATCTATTTCTGCCTTACTTTATTACATAGTACTATTACAGATACGTGCATCTTTATAGTCTTCCCTGTTATAAATTCTTGTTTAAAACTTAGCAATTAAAGTTAAGTGTTCCTCAATTTTGTCCGTCTCAACCTGAAGAAAATTTTTTTGAAGATTTACACAAATATCTTTTAGAGGTATTTTTTGTTTACAACATTTATAATAAGTACTATTATTATACTTATATATGATAGCTCTGCGTAGTAGAGTGCACCTTGGCTTGTAATTACTGTGGTTGTACTTTTGCCGTTAGAGAAGGGATCCCCAATATGCTTCTGCCCGAAGAAAATCCCAGTTAAAAGTTATATAAATAAATTTGTATGCACGACGTCACTGCTATCTTTGTGGTAAACCCACTCTCTTTTATTTTTATGGAAACTATATTAAAATTTATATACGGTATATCAGACTCCAACACTTTTATGTGACACTTGTCGTACTTGACCTCAACTTGTGTACCATATTCTTATGATCCCTTCCCTTTCTTGTTTTTGTGACCCTCTTTGCTTTTTAAGGCAACCCCAACTTTTTGGTTAGACTAGAGGTTTACAAAAGTTTGTGTTTAGAGCAGCTTCTAACGCACTTTTTGATTTTTTTGTCATTTAATAAGTTTTTACAACTTTTTGGTCTACTAAATTTATTTTTTTTGCCTTAAATTTTTTTTTGCTTCTGACTTTTATTTAGTATAACTTGCAAACATATTTTATTCATATTAGCATATAATTATTATTTTTATAACCAGGTCCCCTAAAGGTAGGAAAACAGGAAATTAGGGCTGAGTAGATCGAACCCCTTGGCCGCAGCCGAAGCCATGTAAACCCTTCAAAAGTACATTCGGAATTTTTCCTGGATAAAGATTACTACGTTAAAAATAAAAAAGTAGACTTAGATTCTCGACTACAGCGCCTATATACCCCGTTATCTCATTAGGCTGGGAGTTTGTTATAAAACCACGCAACATGCTGTCATACTTTTTATAAACTTTTCAGTGATATCGATAATGCTAAAGGGTTTGATTTTAATTCAGCGACTACTCCTTTCTTTTTGGTTGTATTTTATATATTAAAAAAGACTAACAATGTTTTGGTTTCGGATTCTCTTAGTGATTTGCTTGGCACCTTACAAATAAACAAATCACACTTTTATAAAGCCAAATTTTTGAGTAGGTTGGGCAGTTATTAAGTGACGGCACGGGCTTCGGTTGTTTATAAGAAAAGTGTTTCTTTCACAGTTATCAACATTAACGTTTACTGTTTATGAATGTTTCTATTTTTTATTACTTAAATTTTGGAATCTTTTTTTTTAGCGCTTTAAAAAATCCAATAAATCTTATAAAACCTTCTTTTGGTTTTACTTTTTTGTTGGTAAGTTAAAAAAAAGGGCACAGAGAAGCCTTTTTCATTTCCATGCGCATACATCGTCTTGTGAAGAGGGAAGCACTTTATGTAAAAGGCTAATTTTTAAGTAAATTTAGATAAGCCTCTGCTTTTCTGGTTGGAGAGATTTAAATATTATTTTTTTAACTCTGCGAAAGTTTTTGAGCTATAGTTTGAGGATCATTTTGTGTATCCGCTTTAGTTTTTTTTATTATTTTTAAATATACTGGGCTTTAGCTGATTGGCATTAATATCAGGATGTTGGGCCGACAAAATATCCCTAAGAGCTTGTTGGTGGTGTATATCCCTGTTCACCGGCGACATGTTTGATTGCCTTAGAACTTTATTTTGTTTGGCGAAAATTGCCATGGGTATATCTCTACACTAACTTTTTTAACGTTATTTAAAAAATAATTTTTTATTATAATTTGGTTGCTATATTTAATTACCTCTAGGACTTATACACTTCATCAATATCTAAACAAATTTTCAGGTGGCTTCTGAACTTAACTCATTTACACAACTTTCGACTTATACTCCTTTTCCCACGTACACACTGCACTTCTATGTTTTAGAATTTTTTTGATGTTAATGTTTTTGGGTGTTTACCGTGTTGCTTTGGGTCTTTTAGGCACATGAAAAACTTTGTTATATATAGTGTTACTAATTTTAAAAGACTTTAAGTAATAAACTGTGCTAATGTTTTTATTTAATAATTTGAGCAGCTACTCTGTAAATTGAGCGCAGACTACTTAGTTTTGCTAATAACTTATATTATTTTGCGTAGATAGTATCCAGTTTCCGCAATTGTCCTTTCATATGTATATTTTTACAAATAGATTGCGCTTATCCAAGGTTTCTAGGTAAGTTCTTGAGCCCACTGGTAGTTTGGATGCTTACTATCACGTTTTAAAGAAACGATAGTCGCAAATCAAAGGAGGCTCCAAGTCGTTCAAAATCCAGGTCGTTCTTGCAAGGTGTCAGTGCGAACGAAATAAGGAGCGCGTCGTAGCCTTTTTTTCGCCTGAGTCAGTTTGAAAACAACTGCTGCCTGTATGTTTATCTAACTTAAATTAGTAACTTACCAAGTCTGACATCGGCTTACACCAAATAGCTCTGGCTACCGAAAGTACTTAGCTTGCGTAGAAAGAATACTAGCCAGTATCGCCTATTCTCGTAACTATAAATGTAATGACCTAACAATGAATAATGTTTAAGTCCATGGCCATGAAGCTACCGTTGGGGACATCTGAAGTTCCCGTTTTTCCATGTACGTCGGGCCTTGAGATGACTGCACAATAAGTATTTCTCCAATATTTTGCCTTGAGATATCCAAGCAGCTTGTTTGCATTTATAAGGTCGCCACGTAAAACGGCGGGCAAGCCGCTTGAAGCAGCTTTTGAGCACTTGGGTGTAGCGATCTGTCGGGGGGCGGGAAGGGGTAAACGCCAGATATCGCGTCAATCTGTCTGTGACAGCCAATTTGAGACGACTCCATACGGCCTCTATGCCCTCAAAGTTTGGGAGAGCACTCGGGTGGCGCGGTAAATTTCGTCTCACTAGAATAGCGACGCCTCCGTCGCGTCTGCCTAGACGTTGAACGTAATTTGCGTAATACCATGCGGTATCCCACTTTCTTATATGTATCGCTTATGCACCTGGTAGACAATTAACTCTAGAATGGTAGCAGGGGAATGTAAGACAAACGGTAACATCGGGCCATATTGGATCCTATGTAAATTATAGTATATATTAATTATTTCAATATTTTAGTAGAGTAAATTTAAGCAACCCTTTTAAAAATATATAGGTGGAAATGTCAAACATTTTTTTAGAACAAGATAACAAAAATATAGAAAAAATTTTTAGATACCTAAAATATTACTAATTCTTTGTTTGTTTTAAAACAAATATAGCTTCCTTATGGCATAACAATGGAAAAATAAAAAACTGTCTTTTAAAATCAACAATGCTCATTAAAATCATAAGTACATTCCTGAAAAATAGCACTACTATATTTAGCACATCTCCCGTATTTACAAACGACACATGCCTCTGCTTTTTCTGACTGAACCTAGGACATATTCCAAAACGAGCGCGTTTTTAGACTTCGGAGGCAACATTTAGCATACAAGTTGTACATTCTCCCCCCGAAACATCTTCCATTATACATCGCAGCGAACTGGGAAGGTTATACTGTAATCTCTTTCGAATAAGCGATTTTACAAACGCTTAAGCCAAACTTTCAAAAAACTGCGTCGGGGTATGAACTTGACTATGGTTGTTTTTAAGGTATTTTCTCTCGAATTATGTAAGCGTTTACGCAGGCTCCATCAAGCATGCCGTAAAATATTCTGAGTGACCAACGACGAGTTTTCCATGCACCTTTCTTTAAATGAAAATATTGATCATATTTATCTAGTCCTCCTTTAGTGGGTTATTAAGATAATTTCCAGTTTTTGCGAATTTTGATCAACTATTTTTTCGTCATGAATACATAATAAACGTAATAAAAACGTTCTTTTTTAGAGAAAACGAAACTAAAATTTTATTGCGATAATAAGCAAAATCTGAACTTAGCACTCGAGGTTTGCTATTCGAAAGTTTGTAGGTACATCGGGTTGTCTATTCTAAGAATGCACACCATGGTAAGGTTCTCTTCAAGAAGTTTTTCTGCCAGCTGGGAAGAACAGAACTAGTTTTCCGCTGTTACAGAACGATTCACATAAGAACATATAGTGTTGGTATTGAATTCGTGGAGGATCGTGCTTCTTTACCTATATATGGGGTCGCCGATGTCATATACGATGTTTCGCGTCAGCCGACATTACTATTTTAATGTCATATTTGTCCAGCTTGTTAATATGTAAACTTCAAACGTTAATGTGTTCCTTGGTGTGTAATAGTTGGTACAAATTTCGAAATTATGAAAATATATATTGAATTGGAGCGAACTTGTCTTACCTTCTTCTCTTAGATCGAGTGTATTTATTGCATTTATAGTATAAGGAATCGAGGGCTGCATGTGCTTATTTTAGTGCTGCCCATGCATGAGCTGCTGCAATTTTTATTATTTTCTGAGGTTGATTTGGTGCTCCTAGAGAGTCCAAAATTATCAAATAAATCTCTACAATACTTTTGGTTCTTCGACTTCATAATTATATTACGTTAAAGTCTATAGTAAATATTATATTATTTAACGTATTGTTTTATATTTATACTGAGGGCTTGCGGCCTATAAAATCAACAGTTATCAAAACGTAGGTATTTTATTAGAAAAGTGATTCGTTTTTCAGATCAAGTTGCCCTATATATGGGAATTCCTAATTTCTTAGGCCAGAGCTCATTATGTGTTAGATAATTATTCTTAGGACTCTACTCAAATACAGTAAGCTTAGGTGGACCAATCGCTGATTTTTGTATTTTGAAGCTTGCCTAGCAATATCTTCGTTTGTGTGAGCAGCTACACTATAGTTCAAAATTGTATTAATTTTTGGCATTTTTTCCTTAATATAGAATAACTTTTTAATAACGAAAGGGGTTATTTAACAATTCATACATAATAAACTTCTAAGTTCTAACTACATATTGTAAATACTTGACATTAAATTGGTTCACATATTATTCGAAAAGATATAAAATTTTTAAGTGGAAAGATTGTCGAAACTATTTTGCACGTAGATGAAACTTAATTTAGTAAACGAGGTTTTAATAATTAGCATAGCTCCTTTTTGCATCCTCTTTGGCATACTAACAATCAGATTGTAGCATTGATCCAGGTGTTATAGTTTTCCGATTCTGATTGTACGCGAGTTCAAAGCTCGTCCAAAGCTCGCCCAATTAGCAGGAGCTGATTCGTATGATCCCAATTTTACTGCAAGATACCCCATGCGTGCTCAGTGGGGTTAAGATCAAGAGATAGCGGAGAGCCAGACTAGCACCTGGAACGACTGTAATTGGAGCCATGAGCGCACTGATAGTGCGGTGTGATATGAGGGATTACCCTGCTGAAAAATCATTTTATCAAGATCAAACATACCGATCGCATGTCCTAGGTAATAATTCTTAATACTGTTTAATACGCGCTTGTGGTGACGCTCCTAATTACTTTTTCCAATATCCGAACCCCTTAGATGTTATACCTGACCGAATCATAGTCGATCCTCCCCCATGTTTATAAGTTTGCTCCACGTTGATCAAGTCTTCGATTATCACTTCCAACGCCACCTAATACCATCTGAACCACACGATTAATCTTAGTCTCGTCCGAAAAATTACTTTTTCCCAGTCAGAAATGGACCATTTTCCGTACTTTGCAAACTCATTTTAGTCGCTCGTGACGGTCTGCCGTAGCTGGTTTAATAAACTTTTTTTTCGCTTGAAAAAATACGGTGGCTCTTGAAAATGGTCTATCTAATGTTCTTTCTATGAATTCTGTAGCTCTCTGTGCAGATTTAATTGCACTCGATACCGCTTGTCGTACAGGTTAAGCTACATCACGATTTTTCAAGATCTTTAGAAGCCCCGGTTTATTGCAATGACGATTTGGATCAATTGGGCTTTAATCCGGATAATTTGGCGTTACTGACACCGCATTTACGAGCGATTCAGTATAATGGTTTACCTTGATCTAAAAGACATTCTACATCATTTTCTTTATCCACTGAAAGTGTACTCAATATTGGATTAAGACCTCTAAATAAGCTATCCTATATAGTCACTCAAACGCTTTAAAAAAAACCCCCTATGAAAAGGTGATTGTAAAGTTTGTATAAGGATTGAAACAATATTGCACGAAGGGGGGCCCGTGCAAAATCGTTTCAATCGATACCCAAAGTTTAAAAGGCCAAACTACACTAAGTAGGTCCTAATCTAAACCTATATATATAGGGGATCAATACAACCAATTATTACTTAAAGCATTATTGAACTTTAACAAAGAAGTTTTAAACATAGAAACAATTTTGATCGATAGTGTACTTATAACTTACTTAAAGCATTATTGAACTTTAACAAAGAAGTTTTAAACATAGAAACAATTTTGATCGATAGTGTACTTATAACATGATCAAAAAAAATAGTTCCACGAAGAAAGTTCGTCATCTGCCTCATCACATGAATCTTGGATAACTTTATCTCCACTATCTTCCTCTTCGCTCTCCCTTTTTAGGTGATTATCTTCCAACTCGGTCCCACCATCGCCCATACGGTCATACTCCCCTATTGCTAATATGAGTGACAGTAACAGTAACATCGCGTCATATTTAAGTTTATGTTTAGTTACCTTTAATCTAAATTGTATTTGAAGCGCAAACTCACTAACAATAGTTATAAAATTACTGAGGCGCAGGTACCGATGCGGTCATTTTTCCACTTAAAATAACGCATGCAAAGTATGCTTGGGTAGTCAATTCTGACAATACATCGAGAAGTTGCAGAACTTAGAGGAGATGTCTTTCGCGCCTCATAAACTCCTACAGCTCTTGCGTAAAATACCACCTACGTTCCAAAAAAAGAAGCCTGATTTGACGGAGAGCCCGTGATCTGAAAATCATTAAACGGTTTCAGCCCTTGACTGTCTTAAGCATAGTTGACAAATTTGTTGCCAACTGCCCAAGCGAACGGCGTGTTAGGCCCTGGTATTTATTTTAGTTGAAGTAGGCTCTTGATAGCGGAGCATTTGTAGGATTTATCAGGTAATGTTCGCAGCTCAGTTTGCAACAATTAGCGTGACTGTCTCGTGTTTTTGTGTACTGCGCAGTTAAGTGACCCTCGCCCATTGCACTTGTTTGAGGTCACAGAGCATAAACTAGCAATGATAGCGGTAGCACGTCTTAGATACTCTTTTGTAGCTCCTTCACTCTAATTTAAAAAAGGGAAACCACCTTGAAATTATTAGCTTCTGTCGGCCATACCTCGACTTATCACCTGTACCGCTGATAAAGTGATCTTAAATTTTAGTGCTTACAATAATATTTGGTACCTATGTCCCGTGATATGAATCCAGTAACCATCTCCAATAAGTTTTGTTTACGATAGAAAGAAAGAGAGAGAAAAGCTAAACACAGGTTCCGGAGTTATATTTTTACTTGAATTAATTTAGTTTACTCCTCCGCCAATGTGTTTAACTTTTATCAAGTTTAAGCAGAAATTATAATTAGATAACTTAGCTACAAAGCCATTAAACATAAGAATTATTAAATTTAGCCTTACCGTCTTGATTTTTTTTACATTCTGCTAGTTACAATAGAATAACACAGAAAACCTTCCGGCAAGTATGGCTTCTAATTAATAAAGGTATAAACCTACGATTCTGTATGTAACTTTTTAATTAAACATAATATTTCAACTTGCTAAACCAAATTGTTTTGTAATTCATACTAAAAAACAATAAGCAAATATAAATTCTAACAAAACTATAAAATATGCCTTTACTCGTTAAAAGGAAATTGACTGCCACTTTAGACTTAAAAACAATTTTTACGTCTTGTACAAAGCCTTCAAGACTGTTGCATAACAAATTGTGATATTTATGTGGAGCGCTTACATGCACATAAACAAATATGTACGCTTTAAAAAACTCCATGAAGTTTTTAAAGGTTTGTATAATAAATTAATACTTAAATATTAAAAATTGCAGTCCGACTAAGTAGAGATAATCGTCGAGGCAAGTTGTTCCCAGCCTGTGGGGGTTCAGTCCGTACATTATAGTAAGGTCTTACAGCATTAAAGCTTAAGCTAAGGCCGGAGTGTTACCGTTGAGATGCAATAATGGAGGACCCTTGGGCCTCCTTCAGCAGGAAAATACTTACCTTGTTCTCCGGTGATCTCGAGGTCCATTCGACGCAAAAAAATTATACTGATCTTCGTATTTTGAAAGCGGGAGATTTGAAGGTTCCAGAGGAACTTATAAAAAGTAACTGTCAGTATGTAACGCATCTTTTTAGACAACTAACTTATTTTCTTTTTCCTTGATTATAAATAACTTAATTTTTAGATTTCTTAGATACTTACTTAGGTAAAGTTGTGTTAGACGGCGTTTGGAAACCTTTCATAGAATTATTGGTACAAACCGTTATATTTCTTTCATATCCGTTAGCTTCCTTGAATTTTGGTACTTTGTTATCGCGTCTTTGTATCACTGCGATACGCGGAAATATTATTTTAAGCTTGTTCGAACAATATAACATTTTATTTCACTTATGGTTTAGATTTGTATTTTATAGTTTACATTTAATTTTTATTTCAATTCTATTTATAGTCTGTACCTAGCCTGGATTTTTAACAAGTTTTTAAGCTAAAAAAACACAATAATTTGTAGTTATTTTTAATTAGGACACTGAGCTTGAAAATGGAGAGAAACTGTTACACTTTGTATGTAACTTTCCTATAACCGTTATGAACCTAATTTTTTTAAAGTTTTTATATTATACTGTTACTTCTAGTTTAGTTGTTACTAAACTTTTTCTTTATTACTAACTGTATCTAGGCGAAGAGTGTTTATAAGTTAACCAGGGGCTTATTCAGCTGTCTTGAGCTCTTTAATGATTATCCTCTGTATTTGGAGGATCGTCTTTTTCAATATCAAAGTGGCCATTTTTTTCCGATCTGTTGTTCTTTTTTACAAGAAACTTTTGAAGCTTATTGCACTCGGGTATTTTGATTTACACATTTAGTTTCTTTTTCGTTAATAGTCGATCTTTTATAGTCTTCCGATAACAATTCGACCTCTTGTGCTAGCGAGCTTGAGCTGCAGAAGGCCGATATTACGTTGCAGCTGCTGAGGGAAATAGTTGAGGTACTGTCCAGTCTGCGGCTGACTCACCGGTAGTATGTCACCGTCCCGGGTATTGAGTGCCGTCATGATCCATAGGCGGGTTACAGGGTTTTTGGTGTTTGCTCCGCGGAAGTTGCTCAGAAGGCTATCTCAGCCCGCATGGAGAACATCCGGAAGCGTTTCGGTGTGTTCCCGTTTGCGCAGCCACTCAAACAAATTCTCAGTCTCTTTTCTGCAGCCGCCCGCTACCTTCCGCCGCTGCTTGCGTGGGTCCGCTCTACAGTTGTGAGTTGGCTCACCCACTTATACAGAGGTAGGAACCCATGCTCCGTGCAGCTGAAATCCTTACCGTTTGCACAAGGGTACTTGCCGGAGCCACTCCCACGGCTGGAGCTGAGTCTTTTCAGCTACACCTACCATTCGTTTGGCCTTATGAGGTTGGGGCGTTGACTTGCACGGCTACTCGGCGCTTTAAAATTGCTTTTGCTTAGAATTGAAGAAATCTTCGATATAATCGTAGACTACGATAGCGAGGACCACGCGAGTCATCCAGCGCTCGAAGATCTCAAGGTACTAGCTCACTGCACTGAAATCATCTGCCTATCAAATTGTTATTAGGAGTGCCTCCATCACACCGACTTGAAGGACAATTTGATTCACCGTTTGAAATCACAGTACACTGAGTACAAACACGGCTTTGTCTTAAAATAAACGACATTTTTAACAGAAACGAGGAACGGCTACTGCATCACGGTGCTGACACCAGCGACATCATTACACACCTCCAGCAATTAACTGCAGTACTTCCTTTTCACCTTTTATTATTCTCAAAGGATCGCTGCTACTCTGCAGGCCCTTCGCTTTATAGATCCCTCTGGGGCGGTTCTGAAGGCTGTGCAGGGTGGTGCTGTAGGTCTGCTCGCTGTGCCCTGTTCTCACCGATAAGCGCTGTAGGGGACATCCATAGCTACCTTCGCCTGCGCCCGGACGCCTCTCGTTGCCTCATCAACACGTTTGTGGATAACGACCAGTACATGACGGGCATACTCTCGGCCTTGCCGGTGCGGCCCTCACGAGCCTACACTCTTTATTGCTAGACGGTGACTGTATGTTACGAATAGCAGGCGGAAGACGAGTCGGACTCGGACTGGGAGCCGGAGCCTAGAGTCTCCTATGGTGGGTAACCAGACAGTTTGTTTACTTTTATTGAAAGAATTTCTTGAACGCAGAGAAGAATAGTTACGAAGCGACGATTTATGGAAGCAAAGAACGCTTTGCCGCTGACTACCACGCTGTCTTGGCGGAAACTCTTCTTTTGTCTGAAAACTGTGATCTGGATAAAGAGGCACCTCTTTTCTTTTTTTGCTTTTATTCCCGCGGACTGCTATTACTTCTAGTCTCATAGCTTCGTAACTTGGAGCTTCTGAAGGCTCGCTTCGGCGAAGATCTATTTCTCAAGTGCACGGTGTGTCCGTTGCTTCGATCCTCGTTGCTTTATTATCTGCCGCATGACTTAATGAGCAGGTTATGCTCGAGGATGTGGCGGAGTCTAGACGGCTCAATGCTATTCTTGGTCAGCGGGTTTGCCTCTTCTGAGCTCTCTTTTTCTCTAAACAAATCTTTTGGCATCAGGAGCTTCCGTTGCAAACGCTGATCATCTCGAAGTTATTTTGGCCCTCCCTGCACGAGGAGCTATTTTCACCTCCTTTGCTCGTTAAACGGCTAGAAAAATATTTTTCATAACGTTATAACTAGCTCAAAGTTGGCTTCCCTGTGCAGGTGGCTGAGTCAGTTTGATGAATCTTTCCAAAAGATCAAGGCAGCGAGATGTTTGTCATATTTGGTACTGCTTCAATATCACTTGGTTGTCTCGATCGCTCTAGATTAAGTAACGGGCCAGATGAACTACGGCACGGTAGAGCTCGAGCTTGTCTTTGGAAATAAAACCTTCCAGTATTGCGTTTCGCCCCTTCTTGCAACCATCATCATCCACTTCAAGGAGAATGACAAGATCTCCTCCGCTGAGTTAGCTACGCTCTTAGCTGTGCCTCCTCACGTTATCAAAAGGAAGATCGCTTTCTGGGTGAATGAGGGTGTCCTTATCGAAGTGGGAGACTCTACTTACGAAATCAACCAACTAGGCCCACATAGCCCTGCTCAGACCAGTGGTACTTTTGCAGCAGTCTTACCTCTTCCCTCTTAGTTCTTCTCCGTTCCAGCAATTTGCTTTGAAAGGGACGCCGCTATTCCAGCGGAGCCTCCGCAAGAGGCAGAGGATCTCGAGGTCTCGTGTGTTCTGCTAGTCATCTCGAAATGTTCTAAAGCTCCCCCCACTGTAGCTGTGCTGGAAGTTTGTGGTTGGTATGCTCACCAATATAGGGGCCATGTCTCTAAAGCGGATCTACTCCATGTTGAGCATGTGCGTGGGGGAGTCCGTGCCCAAAGAGACCGCCATCAAGACGTATCTGCAAAAACGCGTTATAGATGGGCATCTCGAGTATTTGGCAGGCAACTACTCACTGACTACCCACCAAAAGATTCCGAAGTCCAATTAGAGATTGGTTATAAAATAAATTCTTTATGGTGGTTTAGTACTAGAGCCTTCACTCGAAAGTCTATAAGCAAAAACACTCGGCACTACCTTATAATCATGCCTTGCTACTTTACCATCACGCGACTCCTTCTGCTAGTCGATCTGTATCTTCTACACAAGCTCTTAAAGTAGCTCAATGTACGGCTTTATTTAAAAGAGTAGTGAAAGGCCTAAAAGAAGTGCTAAGGAAGACCTCATGTTAAGCGACAAAGATCACTTCACTTCACTTCTACATTTTTAAAATAATACCAACAATTATAGAAAAGAAAACAGCACGGTAACTACACCCCGTAGCAAAAGTAAAAATTTAAAAGTTAACTTTAGGAATTTTTTATTTATAATTTATTTTTAGAAGTTCTTCCATCATAGTATGGACTTCATCTACCTCTTCCGCATCCCTAGGTGCTAAAAAGGTGCTCTTGGTTATATAGAAAAGCAATAGTTAAGCATTAGTGAAAACCTCCAAGATAGTCTTCAAAATCTATACTTTCATCGTTTCCTAAAGCGACGTCTAGTAAAATTTGAGAGGAAGGGAGGCCGGGAAGTCGAAGTGGCTAATTAACACATATTACTGAACGTTATAATGTGTAAATACGTAAAAAGTACTCTAGAAAAAAGTTTTCTTTCCAAGCAGATTTTTATAGGGGCGGCGAAACCTTGAGTATACCTCAAAACTTCTAATTGACGCTCTTCAGTGAAATAGTCCTTCTGTGGAATGTATAGTGTAAAGTGGTAATAATATAAATATACTCGTAAACAACCTCTTCTAATACTTGTTCAATTGCGTGGAGAGGAGATAGAGTATTTGCAACGTTATAAAATCCTCTTTGTAAGTTATTACAACCCCGGTAAGGTCCGTCAATGGGAAAGCTTGACTTGTGTTGGATCCCAGGTTTTAAGAAGCGCGCCTTGAGGCTCAAATTAGTTAACAGCGGACATAGAAGATAAAAGCGGAAAAATTTTATAACGACAAAGCTACCATTGATCCTAGTCTTCAGCAAGCAAAGTTAGCTCGCTGTTTTCTAAAATAACTCTTTGCGTTGGTACGGCCTCTGGCCATTCGTTGATACCAAGTGGTGCCTCAGACTTCGGAATAACCGCTAGTTAGCGCAGTGAACCCTCTTACTAAGCGTGATACGAAGTAAAAGAGCCCCGGAGACTAAAAATTTTCAATTTAACCGCTATAAATTTTATCATATTTTTCACTTTCATTAGTTTGCAACAAGAACATCTCATCGCTTTCAAATTACTCACTTTTTATATACCGTAGACTTACCTATTTTTTGCTTTCTCCTGCTGTCCCCCTCAACTTTCAACTCTAAGTATTTAAAACCCTGTAGGTTAACTTATAACTTTCTCTATGGAAGAAGTTAAGAGTCTTTATTTTTAATTTTCTAATAGGTTGATACACTCCCATCATGAATGATAGACAAAACAAATTATTATTTTTGGCCCAACGGGTAGCGGTTACACCCTCATAAAGAGTATATATATATATATGGTAATTATTCCAACAATGCTATAAATAGTTAGTACATAAATAGTTATAGTTAAACTAGTACTAGTAGTACTAAGAAAATGCTAAATATACTATAAAGATGAAGACTAAGAAGTTCGGGGGAAACCTATCTTTAAATTAAACTAAGAGTACAACACCCCTATATTTGGTGGAAAAATAAATACCAAAGAAATTAGGATGTTAATCTCTAAGGAAAAGCTTTGGAGTTGTTTAATAACTTGAGTTATACCATATTTACCATTACACTCTTAAAAGCATTCAGGTGCTATACGAGGTATTATGGTCGAAAAGAACTCAGAAGAATTTGAAATTGGAACGGAAAGTCAAAAATGCTAAACAAGTGAGGCAATTTAGACTCGAATGTTTGATAAAAACCGTTCACCTATGCGAATTTCTGCTTAACCTCCAAATGGAAATAAGAAAGATCCTATTCTGTAAAAAAACCTTGTGTTCTTATCAGTATCTGTAGAACCCCTTAAAACAGATAGAATTTTTCAATACTTAGACGTAGACTTTCCTTTTCAACTATAATTGAATTTTACTCTTTAAAATTCGGAAAAGACATCAACCTTAAACTAAAGGGCGAAAGTTTGAAAAAGCTAACCAGATGTACTATAAGCTACCGACAAGTTTTAACCTCTCATTGTGCGAAAAAAAGTCTATAAACCTCCCGCCAAAAGACTAGAAGGGAAGTATACTGGTACAATGTTTTCTAGACTCGACCTTAGTGCATGGATACGTCAACTGGGGGCATCCACTAAGTAATAGTACTTGCATAAATCCATATGGAGTAGTTCTAAAAAACTTGCAGACGAATAGAGTTCTCGTTATCGTTCCCCGATGCTCCGTTTAATTATACCACAAATTACATATCAGATTTGCTTAATATTGCTTTAGTTAAAAATATTTGTACCTTAGTTTCTGTAACAACGTTGTCGGGTCTTTCTTCAGACCGCCATCCCTTTCCACTCACACGTTAAAATACCTAGTATAATTTACTTAAAACGAAAAAGAAATTGACAAATTTAGTCAAGTTTAAAAGGATACGTGGAGGACAATCCTTTAACTGCATCTACGCTCTCTAACCTTAATTATACAAAATGGCATACTTAAAGTCCGTACTTCCAGAATATACAGTTAAACGGCAAAGACTTAAGCTTAATTGTTTCACCCTTAGTAACCGAAATAAAACGAACAATTACTAATAGAAGGTCTATGAAGACAAGGTATACACCTATTAAAACCTCGAATGACAAACGCGTTTTAAACCATAGAATTTATAGAATCTGCTTATTGCTTGTGGGAATTAATTCCTAGGATCTAGGTTGCTAATCCCACGTGGTACATAAATACCCATTTTGTTTTTGCCTTCTTTTTTTTAAGACTTATTGTGTTTTGATAAGGAACCCTTTAAAGCTTTGTGATTGAACCTGACAGAAAATGAAAATTAGGATCATAACTATCGTATAACAACCGAGTTAGTGCCAAAACGTAGCTATTTTTTTGGTTTCAAACCAAGAGTATAAAAAGCATACCACTACTTTATGCAAGAAATTTAAACTGAAATACACCATTTGATGTACCTGAAATATGATAAAGCAGTTGTATTTACCAATTTATAAAAGGCCTAAAATAGGCACGTAGTAATATGTAGTTGTCATAGTTCATAAACATTATCTGGACATTTAGACAGTGCGACCTTTTAATTAAACGAATGGTAAAAATAATTTGTATTTTTACATAAGTTATTTTAAAACATAGCAACGTGAATGTTTGCGTATAAATTGACCCTTTAATATATAATACATAGTGTTTATATATGAATTATTATATAATGCTACTTAAAAGTATAAGATACAAACATTTTTTCCTAACAATAAAAAGGTAATAGGTTAACGTAACAGCTATATAGCTCATATATAGCTCATACAAGGCTCATTTTATTAGTTAATATCATCGAAAGGCACGAAATTAATCAGTATCTTCATCAGAGCCCTCAACGTCAAGTCCTTGAGCCTTCCTTAACTTTTTTAGTCTTTCCTTCTTCCTTTGTTCAGCGCGCGATAGTTGAGTTTTCTTTTTAGGTTTTATTTTAATTGTGTTACCCAAAGCGTCAACCATCTCCGTAGCTTCCTCTTTCTTTTCAACTTTTTCTAAAAGCGCTTGTTTCATCCACTCAGGATCCCCCTTCAAGTTTAAGGTGTTATTTTCCAAATGCCAAACCTCAGGGCAAAGTTTTTCGCAAAAGTCATTGTTATGAGTAATCATAACTATGCCCCCTTCAAAAGTTTCAATGGCTTTTGAAAGTTGCGCTAAAGATTCCCTGTCTAAGTAGTTTGTAGGTTCATCAAGAATAAGCAGGTGTGGGTTGTTCCACATGCATGCAGCTAAAACAACCTTTACTTTCTGACCCCCAGAAAGTGCTTGAATACGTGTGTGCGTACCAAACTCGCGGTGAAGGCCGAAACCTTCCAAATGTTTTTCTACGTTCTCCACTGAGAGCGCCTTAGTATATGATGCAGCCCTTTCTGCAATCGACTGATCGACTTCCTTCAAAACTTTGCCCCAGCCATGCTCTATTAAAGTTTTCAATGGTAACCAGGACGTATCATCCCGATGCATCCATTCAACTTCATATTCTATTTCTTTTTTATTCTGACGCCGACCTTCAGTAAGCCTTTTAATGACAACCTTTTCTTTTTTTGAAACACCTTTATCGTCAATAAAGGTCCAAGAAATTGGTACACGCATTTTAGCTTTTTCTTCTTCAGTTACTACCATTGTAACCTTCTCTAAAGCTTCTTTGTCTTTGCCATATTGAAAGCGCCATCTAATATACTCATTAGGTGTTTTGCTTAGGTGGTTTTCTAGGTGGTTTTCTATATGATGAAACGCATGCTGGGCCACGTAAGCTACACGGGCATTAGGGTGTTTCCAAACTTCCCCTGAGCCCTCGTCCGGTGCTAATTCGCCAGTAAGCAATTTAATCATGGTTGACTTACCAGCCCCGTTGACACCAACGCATGCCACCCTTGAAGATAAAGAGCAACGAACAGTTACATTTTTTAACTGTGGTTTAGGAGTACCGGGGTAGGTGAAGGTGATGTTGGTCATTTTCAAAATGGGCTTGCCTTTGGTATTGATACCCTCTAAATTTCCGGGTGACGGGAACGTAAAAGGGGCTTTATCAACTTTTTCTTGTTCAAAAACTTTTCTAGCTCCAGGGCATTGATTTAAGAACATGCTTAAGTTACCTTTAAAAAATCTAAGTTTCAGAGAATCCACATATATAATATTAGTGCAAACGCGCTCTAGAAAGCCTTTGTCATGCGACACCATTATTGAAGTGACGCCACTTAACCCAGTAAGGTAATTTTCAACCCATTTTACATTATATACGTCAAGATGATTGGTCGGCTCGTCCAAAAGCAGTATATCTGCCTTTAAAAGCATAGCCCGGGCGAGGGCAAGCTTCATTTTCCAACCACCGGACAAAGATCCAACAGTTGATGTGATATTCGCGGGGGAATCATCGTTAAAGCCAACACCTTGTAGTACTTTGGCCATTTCTTCTCTAGGAACTCCGCAATCCTTAAGAAGCTCGTCTTGAAAGATGTAATCCAGTACCGAAAGATCGGACAATTCGCCTTGAATGTCAGTGGCTACAAAAACTGTGCGCACAAGAGAAGGGTCAGGAAAACCTTCCACTTTCCCGCCGGCAATGGCACGAAGTAGAGACGACTTCCCAGAGTCATTCTGACCAATAAGACCGTATCTGAAACCCCGCTTAAGTTTTAAATAGGTATTGTTCAGTAAAATCTTCGTGCCATATGCCAAAGAAAAGTTACAGTTGCAGAGCTCTTCTGCATCGTCTTCCTCTTCTGCATAATTAGGTGGGGTGTGATCCTTCAAACATTCCTCCAGAAGACGAGCGCAACAGATGGAGGGGTCAGCAATACCAGCAAACTTCAAATAAGGCAGCAGAGCGTTGGACCATGTCTTCGGCTCATAAGCTCTAATTGATATTAAGGACAGGCACACGTAAGCCACGTGCTCTAAATAAAGTTTTTCAGCATCTGTAAGTTCCTTGAGCCCAGAGGCCTCCAAAACCACGGGGAACATCGTCTTGAGATCGTGCAACTTAGCTATGTGGCAGCCTGTAAGATCAGATTTCCGCAAAAGCGTTTCATAAGCACTTCGGCATACATCACGACATTCGGGGTCAGACACTTCATGCTGAGCTTTCTCTAACAGTGGAAGCAGTTTCGGAAGAAAAGGAGCAAGATCAGTGGGTTCTTCAACAAGCTTGGTCATGTTTTCCACTATGCGCGCACACTGCCTCTTGGTAGCAATGCTGCGTTCAGCAAAGCCACGAATAAGAATAGGTGACATGATGGACAGAGCACCACTTTCAACGGTTTGAACAAAAACAATTCCCGCTAAAGCATGGATTGTTTCTATCACATCTTTAGGGTTTTCGATAGCATTGACTAGCATAGGGATAAATTCTTTAATATCTCTATTGTCCACTGACTCACATATTTCTTTTAAGGCAGAACGGGCGGCAGTTTTAACTTCTTGTTTGGTGTTCCACATAGCTTCAGCTAAATTGGGTACGACATCGACTAAATTTCTACTCATTTGCAAAGGAGCCTTCTTATTTAAAGTTCTAATTGCCTTGATTCTCCCTAAAGAAAAATTTTTTAAAAAAATAACAAAGTAGCAAACACTATAAAACGCCAACCCTCTTCAGACTGCCATTTACAACTGGTGGTTAAAAGCTGAGGAATAACATAAGGTACGCTGTTTGAGGCTATAACTTCTAGAGTAGCACGTAGAGCATTCCTAGAAGCTTCTTGTATACATTTAGTTTTATCGCCTAAAAGATTGACAAAAGACCCGACAAAAAAAATGAAAACGGGCTCCATCTTAAAACCAACTTGTTTAGCTAAAAAAGCTATAAGTCTGCAAGCAGCTTCTTTGGCAATACCCCCTATCTTCCCTGTAACAGTTAAGAAGAAAAAAAAAATTAGAACGTGAATAATCTAAAAACAAAAAGTAATGGTAATACTGACCTGAATCTTCAAAAGCACTGGTTAAACGATTTAGGAAATCTAACGCTGTAATAGCGGAACACCCTCTGCTTTTAAAAGATTCTGCCAAAGCTTTAAAGGAATTATCCTTTTTCTCCCCATTTAATATAGAATTTAAATGATCAATTGACATGACAATATAAACCGACGAAAACCTATCCAAAAAAAAAATTATAAAAAGAAGGGCCTTACGAACTCTTTTTGTAATATATGTATGACTACCTCTTTTAGTAGTTTAATAATTAGTTAGACTCAAGTAGCACGTGGTTTATTCTAAAAATTGCACATGGCGTGTAATAATTGCAAAACGTTGCCCTCTGGTGGTGGTGGTCGGGCTCTCTGATTAACTATACGCCTCTGGATAATCTCGTCTGTTTCCTTTTACTTCAGTGCCTTAGTGTAGTGTTTATTTTAGAGTAAGCGAGCTTCCGTCTGGTTCGGCGTTATAACAAGTATTGCCAACATAAGCTTTTAAGAATAACTGACGAGCTACATAACCTAACTGTTTTCTTTATACTAGAATTTACATTTTTAAAGGTTTCTTTTATTATTGATTTCATTTTTTGAAATTAGTAATTACTTTACTATTTGCACTGAGAACGACTAATAAAGCTTTTTGTTGACTTTATTAGTACTTAGTTTGGACCTGATTATGATTTAGGCCTATTGGTACGGCCTATTATATTTGATTTTATTTTATGAATATTTGCAAATCCTTTTTATATGATATTGTATATACTTTAAATTACCATAAGAAGTAGTCGTTTAACTTCTGTTAAAGAGGAGTTCTGTACTTTTATAGTATAATTTAAAGCTTTTATTTATTAAGTAATTTTTTTTTCAAACAAACGTGGGCGAATGCTTTATAGATTAAGTTACTTGTTCAAGTGAGAATATTTTACGACCGTTCACCTAAATTTAGTTTTTGTAAGATGATTCGTGTTGGGCTTCATAATTCCCTTAGTACGTGAATAATGAGGACTATATAGGACAATTTTGGTTGTAACTCGGTGTTAACTTCATACGTTGTATAAGTTTTATTTAAAAATAAGTTAAATTGAGAAGCAGGATTACTTTATTGAGTTTAAGATGATTAATTTTGGGGACTAAAATCAAAAGATCAGTCCCGACACTTGAGGATTGCCTTTTGTTTACTGTATTTAAACTATTATAACTAAACCTTATATACATTGCTGATAAGCCAGACCCGCTTAGCAAAGCTTACGTTTTTTCGCCAAGGTCTTTTGGCAGCGACCTGTACTTCGCGTTCGGTGGCGTCGTAGGAAAACCAGCTTGTTATGTATATTTTTTATACATTTCGACTGGGAAATTTTAATCAAACTCTCACTGATTTATCTATTATCAGTCTTAGCATTAATCACTTAAGTCAAGTCATTGTGCGACGAAGGCTCCAATGATGGGCTTGTGGAGCAACGCCCTACTACCATTTTCTGTTTACTTTGTATTTAGAGTTAACAGTAAACAAAGCTACTTTGTATAAGAAGACTCTTTTCAAAGTCTTAAAAGAGCGCGACCTTTTAAAAACTTTTCCACAAGCAAAAACTAAATATTTTTTTTCCTTTTAAAGAGCTTATAGAAAAAACGCTACAGAAAGACGGACTTGCTTTAAAAAGATCTATAATATTGTTAAACAAGAACTGCCGCCTGCTTTCCCAACACAATCTGCGTTTTAAACTGTAAAGAAACATGTTCGAGGTTTCTTTAATTTCAACCAAGAGGCCATCTGCTGAAGTTTTGAATAATATATATGTCGTCATTTTAGCAGAGATTTTGTATTAACGATATGAGACGTTCTACATGTAGACACCACCTCTACACGCGAAATAAGTTTTTAAGTTTCCACTTTTCTTTGCTCTACACACCTACAATTAAATCCATTGAAAAAAGGTGCGAAAAAAGCAACGAATATATTTAAGTATTGTTAAAAAGAAACCAAAGCCCCTAAAAATGCTATTTACCACACTAGTAAATGCTTAGTAAACATACCGTACAGGTCTTATGTAGTATAGTTGTTTACCAGGTGAGGCAGGTTTAACACAGGAAACATTGAGCCCTTGACTGCAAATCTATGATTTTAACTTTATAACAAATTACAGGATAGAGAGTTAAAAGGCATATCATCTATATCAACGGACTCTAATGAAGGTAAATCCATTTTGAATACAAACCGATAAAAAATTTGTTAAGGAGATATCATGATATCAAACAAATTTCAGTAATGCAACAAAGGGTTGATCCTAAAGGAATTACATATCCACCATATACAACTCCTAAGAACTGGTCACTAAAGGTTTGGCACGCTAAGAACTACAACATTTACTGACATCACCTTTTAATTTATCCTCTGCGATTACTTTGTAAATTAATTATCCAGCTGCCTATATAATAATTCGTTGTTTAGTGCATAATCTGCTTTTAATAAATTATTACCAAGCCTACATGCCGTAAAAGTTTGTGATAGAGAAAATGCAGATTAAGCGGTTAAAGCCCAAGGTTGAAAACAGCAAAATCATCAGTTTAAGGTGTTTCTCTATTACAAAAACTTTTAACCATAGACAAATAGATACATGGATCAGCCACTTTTACCAGTACGATATCTTGTACTAGCATAGTAGTAGAGGTGGATTTAAAAATACCACAAAATTATAAAAAATATTTATATAGATTGAACTTTATTAATGACACTGCATCGCTCAACAGTTAGTAAGCCTTATGAAATATGTTATAAAGTTACAGGGATTTCTAGAATTTCGAAATGTTTGTTACAGGGTTTGGCTCATGGTCTTTTGTAAGAGGTGGCTAACAAAAAGAACACTTTAGCGGTTCAAAACGTTTACTCTGATTAAAACTGGAGCGTTAATTTTTATTAAAAATTGAGAAAGTAAATAAGCCCTTAAAAAACTAAAAATAAAGCTTACATATTAACAGTTGCAACTTTTATTAAATGGGATCTTTGTTAAGTAGTGTAAAAAATAAAATATGTTCATAATGTTCAATTTTTTGCATATAACTTGGGACTTTGACAAGATAGTATATTAATATATATTTTTTAAATATCCTTAACACTATAAAGCTTTGTTGCCCAGCCTAACGACGATAATTAACTGAGTATGCTCTTCTGTAGAATGTAAGCCTCTCTTAAAACTTTCTTTACGACAAATTTTTTTTTTTTACAAAATAAGGGTATTAAAGTAAAATATTTTACTTCTGGGACATTGAAGCTGCAAGTTGGCCTTAATGGATAAAAATACACTTAAAACTGCTTTTATATTTCTATAATACCTAGTAGTACTTATTACGATTCAGAAACCTTAATGTTCCCTCAAGATAATGAAGAGCCAACCTAAAATTTAAGAGATTACTAAAATAAATTGAATTACCTCTCAATAAATTTAGCAATTTCTTAAGGATTATTACTATTACATAAATTTTTTTAAAAAAATGCTGTTATAAATGCAAAAACTTTTATCACCAGTTAACTGCGTCAAAGGTTAATGTCTGCTAAAGATTAGCGCAGTGACGCATTGATAAAATAAAAGATCAGTTTGCGCAAGTATAATAAAATATATTACTTATAATTGGGTAATGTACTTTTAAAAAAACGCCCACCAGTTTTAGCAATATTAGGAACGGGCATTTTATTAACGATATAGCTTAACCTAGAAAAGTTAAATCAAATTTATCGAGTTAAGTGGTTTTCTTGTAGCGTTTCCTAATGTTATCATCTCTTCCTTTTCAATTCTTTTCTCTTAACAAAAAAACAACCTCTTTTATTAACCTTTTCCGTCCTCCTCTTTTTCATCAACCCCAAACTGTTACGATTCTGGAGATAGTAAGGTTCTCTGACGATTATAAGCGCATAACTGTGAACTTGTAAGAGTTAAAATATATAATGAGAAAAAACAAGGGGATTCCCCCCTTCTGGTAGGAGCTCATAATCGGGGAAGCCTGGTTGGCAGTGATGCTTGCTGGCGTCTCCTAGTGACCTCGAGTCTTGTGCCTAAGGTCGCCTCTCTCGGTGGTGGTTTTTTACGGTTTTCCACTACACCAAACCGGATGGCAGGAGCCCTGACCCGATATATTCCACTTTCCAGTCCTTCGGGGCAGTCATTATAGCTCTCTAAAGAGGGAACCCTGGTGGGCACTCGTGCACCAACCCCTGCAGAAAAGGGGAATATAGATTAAGCGGCTTAAGGTCTCACAAGCAGACCGGGCCGTAGTATGTCAGTGCTAAAAAAAAAGAGAGAAAAAAACAAAAGAAAACTAATTAATTAACCTTGAACAATAATAGTTAACAGAGCCAATATCTTAGAGCAAGGGTGGAGCTAATGCCCAACTATATTAAAGCTGTGCACAGGCGGCAAAAGTACTTAAGAAAAACCGTAGAAAGAAACCTAACTTAGAAATTTGACGTAGAAGCTAAAGTAACTTAAAAAACACGAGTCAGGCGCTTTACATGAAGAGAGTAGCAGAATCAGCCCCCTTACCTGTGGTTGGAAGCATTAAATATCTGTTTAAGAGCTAAAAACGCAAATCATAAAATTTTCATGCATTGGTGCCATATGACATAATATCCAATGAAAATGATGATAGGGGCGCATAGATGCATGACACTAGCTACCTAAAACAGTAAGGATGTGTGTTTGTTGCATATCAGTCGATCGTTTATGTAACAACAAAAATTATGCTAAACTGACTTTAGAGTTAAACTTTTTGTTAAAAATAATCTTTAGTAAAAGTTAACAAAAATTTTGCAAAATATATTACAGATGTTTTAGAAGTATAGCGTAGTATAATACAAGAGGGGACCATTTAATCTCTCCCCTTTTATTCCCTATATATTACAGTGTGTACTTACAAACAGTTTCTTCACAAAAAGCAAAAATACTGTCCTCTGTATTTTAATGACGATTTCTGTACTAAAGAGGTCACATTAACTATATATAGATTAGTAATTTAGAAATACTAAAAGTTATATTTATTACATTAACATATGCCACACTAATGCTGAACTTGTAATGTTGGTGGCTATTTAATTATGTGGAATGAGGTGGCAGACTAAATTATCTACAAAAAACCGTCTGATCACGAAATTCTTAATATTCAACTTTAAAAAAATAGTAAAATATTTGATATGCCGTTTTATAAAAAATACTAAACTAATTTGTACGCTAATATAGCAAGATTAATTGGACCATTCTGGAGCCACAAAGAGCTCACTAATCGTTGTTTCGTCTTTTTAGTAGAAGAATTTTTAACCTGCTCTTTCTAAGTATGACCAAATCCAAGTTAGTAAGTAAATTATCTAAACATAGTAACAATCTTACACTTTGATCAAATAAATTATAATTGGGTTAGTAAGTAAATTATCTGAACATAGTAATAATCTTACACTTTCATCAAATAAATTATAATTGGGTTATAAATCTATCGGTAAAAGTATCCCTAACACGCTCTGAGAGACTAAATACGTAAATTTGTCATGCTGGAATGAGATTCGTCGTCTTAGCTTAGCAATTTGAGCATGGACTCGCAAACTTAAGATCGTGAGTCCGGGCTCCCACTGATAAAACTATTTTTTTCTGTTCTTAGTGGGTTGCTTTTTTTTTTTTTTTCAACCTCCCCTTACAAATTCTAATATTTAAAAGAAAAAAATCACTTGTGTTCAGCAGTAAGCCAAAATGGCCGATTCTCTGGAGGATACGCTAGAGGAGAGGGTCGTTTGGCCTAGCTGGCTTTTCACGGAGATGAAAACCAACCATATAGGCGAATTAGCTGCCGTTTTTATGTATATAGGTATATTTTATATTTACTATTATATATAATTGTATTTATTTCCGGTTAAAAACAACTAGTAACCTTTTAAATTTTTTTATAATAGGAGCTCAAAGAGCTTTAATACTTAAATTTAAATTGCTATCTTTTTGGTATTTCTGATTTTAAAGCTTTCATACTACGTCTGTCATTGCTATATTTATTAGCCCCTACTTTATCAAATATAAAGAACCAATTAAAAAAGCAATGAACTTTGTGCGTCGCCAAGTGGAAACTGAAACAGTTCATTTTAAAATAATGTCATCTCTGCTACCTCAAACCCACCAAACGCGTTTTTGTTTCTTTTGGAGGATAAACGCCTTTCTCTTAGGATTCCTACCAACTTTTATTGCTGGCCCTAGAGGTCGACACGTGATCTAACTTAGCCTATATTCTCTTCATATTCTTATATAATCCTAATTTCATAGCACTTTACTGGACTGTTTACGCTGTAGAAAAGTTTGTTGAAAAACACTATAACTCTCAAATTATAAAAATAATTTTGGAAAGTAAGATAATTATTACTCTGGTTTCGTTTTCGACGCAGTTTTATTTCACTGTTTATATAAGAACTTCCGGTTCCCTCCTTGCTGTCTCTTTTAAAAAACTTTAAAGAAGATGAGGTTTACCACCAGCGCGAAGCTGCTGAACACTTATATGGTCGGTTTGATCATCCCGCTATTTTAAATCCGGCCATAATTTCAAAGGTCTGGACCAATCTAGTTTACTATGGCTCGTTGTGGGCTGCGGAACTTGTCAGGTGGATTTAATGTTATAACAGAATTTTAAAATGCGCTTAAGAGATAACAAGAGTTTTATTGTAATAGTGATAGGTTACGGATTAATACATATTTTCTTCCACTAGCTTATAAATTTCTTTATAAAAAAAACTGATCATAGTATAACTGTTTCGGCATTTTATAAAAGCGTTCTTCCAAGTCACTTAAAATCTGTGCAAAAAATAATTAAAAAGAAATTTTGATTTTATTGTGTAAATAAAAGTTCTAGGAAGAGATGCACATTTGACTTTGACGAATATATATATTCTTTAGTGAAGTGAACATCGTACTACGGGGAAACTCGTTTTATATTAGGATTTAATTAAGGATTCAGTTTCTAACAGTGTATATTTCATGATAACTTTTCTAACCAAACAATGGACTTTTTTGAAGTCTGTAAAAGAGTATTACAGCATTATAGTTTAAAAGTTCTTTTTGGTAAAGCTGGGTAGCGTTCTGTTATGGAATAGGCTAAATAGTTTATCGTTAGTAAAGATATGTGAGGCTCTTAGGAAGGGTTTACCTTTCTAAAGTTTTTTGCTTTATAACTGAGAAAAACATTGCTTAAAAGTTAGCAGATTAATAACACAGAAGTGTCGAAACAAATTCCTGCAGATATAACTCTAGTTAAAGTACTTCTCTTTATGAAAGTACTTCTTTCATTACGTTATTATAAAAGGTTATTAACAATTTTAAAATAACAAGAAAGCTTTTAAAAATTTGGAGCAACTATATTGAGCATAATTATAGATTTAAGATCTATCCTTTGAAAACTGAGAAGCGGTTCAACCTGTAGTTTGCGGAGTGCAGTTTGCTTGTTAGAAGCTGCAGCTTATGCTTATGTCATGTTCGGCATTGGCACAATTCTTACAGCCTTCGCTTAATGCGCAACAAAAGCTTAACCCCTTATAGGTTACAGGTTACTATGTTTACCGCTTGTCACCTAGGTTCAATTTGCAAGGGTAGGTCTGTGGAGATTAACCCTCAACGACAGACCCGGCCCCTGAAACGATCTCTGGTAATTTTGAGTACCATGCTCTAACGGATTCGGCGGCAACCAATATAAAAAGTGGTAAATTTAGTTAGGGCGAACGTTAAGTTGAGCATGTGTTGCGCGATCTTTTTATTGGACAAAAAAAAGGGTTCATTCCAGATGTAAGTTTATTTATGGTTAAATAGGTAAATTTGTTTTACTGTTTTATTTTGATATATTATTTGGGATATATAGAATCCAATTTTGACAACGGATATTTAACTTTAAAGTATAGTTTCAACATAGGAAGTGTTTTTGCACAAAAAAAAACAAATCTCTTTTAGGCCTCAGAGCTCTGCCCGTTAAAGGGTGAATTATGCTGCGTAATAAAGAGTATATGACTCTCAAGTTGCTGCCGTGATCTTTGCCATCAGGTAATTCAAGTGCGGACGCCACGACAACTTAGAATCTATATCCTTCCTAGGTATATCAACTGAGGGCACCACGGAATTTTCATCCCAAGGTAATGGCGTTGGCAGTGTAGTGCATTTCTTTATTATGAAAAGCAATTGCATTTCGCTGTGTTAATAATGAGGTCCCATTGGTACTATGAGCTAGCAAGCGAGTTGAAATAAAACTGTGGCCGGTGGCGCAGGGGCTGGTGGATTAGGAGGGTTGACCAACAGAGGCGTGTCGCTCGTATCAAGCGCGAAATGTGCGGAGCTCCTCCCCCGCGAGGCGGGGAGGTGGCGATAGAAAAGTAATCATTCACACTCTTAAAATTACGCTGTTTAGGTACGACATGAGCACAGCTTGAAGATCTCATGCCAGCTTGCGTAACATGTCTTTACGTCACTCCCGGTCTAAAGCCTTCTCGACTTTGCAAAAAACAGCACCACTAGCCTAACATAATATGTAAAATCAGATCGTTAACTTGGTAGGCAAAAGTTCTTGAACCGTTTATTGTTCTTTCCGAAATCTTAACTAAAACTCCTGAAATTTATGGGTGCCTACAACCATCTTTAAAATATCTGATATAACTGCTTCAACCACCTTGCCTCTTGTTGATAAAAGATTGACCAGTTAATCTCAAGAACCAACGCAACTCAGTCGAAATCAAAACACATGTACTTATAATAGAGGGAGTCTTAGGCTTTGTACGGAAAGTTTAGCCTGTAAAGAAAAAAAAAATCTGCAACTTTACTTTTTTTTAGCACCTCTAGAAATCAATTCGATTTCCATTCTTATAAATTTATCGATTTTTCTTAATATTATACCATGCTCGACTTTTTACCGCGATATCCCCCTATCTCCCGCTTATTTACATTTTTATATATGGCAAAAGTTTAGAGTCGCTGAGCTGGTAATAATTCCAGGCAAAGTGATGTTATCCGAGTAGAAGCTAACTCTCTTTTAAGCAAAGTTTAAAAAAATAAGTGGTAATAAGAACAGTTAAACGATAGTCGCCTATATTTATCAACTGTAAGAGAGAGATAAACAACGTAAATAAAAAAATATACACATGCAAGCTTAAATATGAAGGTAAAATATAAAAAGTAATTTATACAGACCACTCATATATAGTATGCCACGCTTTTTTAAACTTTTGAAAAGTTTTATCAAAAAGTATTTTAATTACACTGCGATCTACGCCTTAACCTTACAGTAGTCGCAGGAGGTCTCACAGATGTGGAAAATTTAAATTCAGATACATCTCAGGAATCAATGGATATTACGCTCCGCAGTTTAGAGTACCTTCCGATAAAGTATTCTCTTAGACTGATACATATTCGCATTGCTTTATGTGTTATTTAGGGAGTTAGCAGCGCTGAAAGTCCGGGAGGCCCCCTGCAACTACTAACCGTGTTATTGTGTAACTATTGCATTATTTATGGTTATAGTTATGAGGTAAGAAGGTAGACTGTTGTATAGTTTTTTTGCAACCTTCCACTTTTTTCTGTAGAAAATTGTGTGGAGTTGTGAAGCAGAACAAACTCGTCTTCTTCACGTTTGCATGAGGAAGTTCAGGCAAATGAAGGGATACTCGATGATGAGCAAATAGACGAAGATATCGCCAATTATGAAATCCGAGATGAATTTGACACGGAGGAAGAGTTATAAGAAAAAGAAATTGAAGTAGACGCTGGACCATGGTATCTAGTAAAACACGAGAATACTAAGTGGCGTAAAATGGCTCCACCAAAACACGTTAGAACAAGAACACAAAATATATTAATTAAAGGGAAAAATTATCCTTTAAATTATTGAAAATGTTTTTTTGACTAAGAATTTATTAAAGTAACTGTTGAAAATACCAATAAATTTATTTCATCAAGCTTATTATACTATGCTCGGGAAAAAGACGCTAAATTAACTAGTCGAAGTGACAATATTAGCTCTTCTTGGCTTATAGTAACTCGCTGGTATGACCAAGAGTGGTGGCCTAAACATTGAGCAACTATAGGCCACCAATGGTACAGGGTAGAGATCTTCAGATTTACACTTTCTATTGAGATTCCGTTTTCTGGAGGTACATACGATTCGACGATTATGACACCCGAACCAAAAGCAAAACTACAGATAAGCTGGCATGGCAAATTTTTGATTTATTTGCCGAAAACTGTAAAAACTCCTCTGTTCCATCCGAGTATCTAACAATAATTGAAAAATAGTAGGGGACGTTGCAGTTTAAAAAATTTATGCCAAATAAACCAAATAAAAAAATGGTGTCAAAATTTTTGTTCTGGTAGATGCGAAAATGTCCTATACTAAAAATATGGAGGTATAAGTCGGGACTCAACCGGAGGGACCATTCAAAGTTAATAATGAGGCTGCTAGTATTGTCAAACGACTTAGTGATCCAGTGTGGAATACTGGAAGAAATATTACTATTTGAAATTGGTTTACCAGTCTTAAATTAGTTGATGTCATGTTACTAAACCACCGACTAACTATTCTAGGTACAATTAGAAAGGATAAGGGAAAATACCCCCACTATTTCTCAATGATAAAATCCGTCCAGCGTTTTCAAGTATGTTTGGATTCCGAAATAAATCCACACCAATTTCGTACATCCCCAAAAAAGGCAAGATTCTGCTTTCAAAATCAAGTTTTCCTGAAACCTAAGATAATAACAAGCTACAATCAATTCAAGGGAGGTGTACTATGGTCGACAAATCATGTGCTTAGTTTAATTGCCTCCGCAACACAAAGCGGTGGCCAACAGTAGTATTCTTTAGTATGCCTGAACGTGGCTGGTATAAGTTCTCAAGTTATATATGAAGGAAAGGTTGACCTAAGTAAATTTTGAAAACAAATTTTTTTTTTGGAATTCTATTTTTTTTTTGGAAATTCTATCATTTGCACTTATTGACGAAATTTTGAGAGAGCGTACGATAAACCGAAAGATATTTCGCAAAACATAATTGCTAGAGCAAATGAACCCGAAAAAGATTCAAGGAAGAGACAACCATAAAGGAAACTGCTCTAAGTGTGAGAGTAAAAAGCGAAAAACAAGATATTATTGCGCAAAATGTAAAATATACTTGTGTTTAGAACATTCCTTTGTTATTGGTAACAACTGTTGCGAAAAAATAGATAATATTTGGCCAAGTAAGATGCCCTTCTAAAAAAACTGGATACTTTTACTTTTTTTCCAAATGAACTTTCTTTTTAATTTTTCAGAAGTAATATAATGATGTTTAACATACAATATTTAAAGAAAAGTTAAAAATGTAAGACTATATCATAAAATTTTTTCGTAGCATTGATTTTGTTTTCTAAATTTCCAATTCAGATAGAAGTTAAATTTTTGTGTGACTTGTATCCTAATATCTTAATAAACAACAAATGTTTAAAAATTAACGGTATTTTTATTTAATATAAAAGTAAAAAATTTAAAACTCAGGGGGTCTGAGAGACTTATTGCGACTACTGTAGAGTTAAAAAAGAAATTTAGAAGTATGATTCTCTGTGATAAATATTTAGACTATGCTTTCCTTTAACCTCGGTAATCCGATATTATTATAACGGAAATGAAAACATCTTGACGGTTTAATTGTGGTTGTAGCTGCAAACTGTTTTTTGCAAAGCTTGTAACCTTATACTTTCTTGTGTGCGAGGGCTCTCCCGCTGAAAGTGAGCCTCGTTTAACTGGAATTTAAGTATACACACATGTTAATAGCTGATGTGTCGAATTTGGTTATGATAGGCGTAATAGTTATTTAGCAAACGTCAAACTAACAACGACATGCGAAACCTTGTCATTTTGGTAATTTGAATACCGTGCTGTGAATAAGTTACTTGTGCAAAAAAGTGAATGAGTCAAGGAAATCAACGAAAAATTATTGGCCACTTATGTTAGGGTATTTAAACCTTTACTGACCGGTATCTAAACCTTTAAGCCCTTTAGAATTAATTGTAAACAAATATATATATATAGAGATGTACCGATGTTTTATCAGTACGATTCAGAATCCAAGCAAAAGTCCAATCAATGGACAAAAAAGAGAGTAAAACCATGACACAATTCGAGGTTCAGAGAGTGGCTACCAAACTTATGGCAGCGATATTTTTAGTTTGCGCAGGAATACCTCTGGTGGACACCTCCCTAAAGTAAAAAAGATGAACGGGCAATAATATGCTCACGTAATAATCCAGTTGTGACAGCCATTATTAAGAGATGCAGGAGGAAAACTTATTAAAGAAAAACTTTTATTACCAGACAACGCGCCGGTTCACACAGCTCAAGTTGCACAGCGACTTTGAGGGAATTAACCATTCACCCGCAGGCCAGATTCGGCTCCCAGCGATTTTTACTTGTATAAGGCTTCACGTGATAGAAAAGTTATTAATATAGATTGAGGCTATATTGAAAGATAAAAAATATAGTTTTTAAAAAAATGTTTTACTATCCTAGGCTAAATTTCCGCCAGACCTTTTCACCGTAGAAAACAATGGCGTACCTTTAGAAATTAAAGAAAACAACTTAATATTACAGCAACAGTTACTATTGCTATCGCTTAAGAGTCATTAAATAAAACTTGGCGCAATCATTCCCAAGCTCGTGCATTCTGTCAAGAGATCTACATATGCCACAGCCCTAGGTTCAGAGCTGTTCGTACTTAGTGATGGAGTATGGTAATCTTTCTGAGTTGTCTAGGGAGCAGCTAACTGATATTATATTAAAACTTAAGCAACAGCTTGACGACTATAATAGTGCTTTTAATATTATAGAAAATCAAAAACATAGAGGTGATAGAGAAGAACCCGACACAAACATTAGATGTAACCAGCGCCTTATCAACTCTATAAGAATAAATAATAAAGTCAAAAAACTTAGAAAAAAGGCATTTGACTTCTCCTTGTACAATAAAAGAAAAGTAGTGTTTAAAATATTATACTTTGGTTGGTCCTATAGTGGACTAGCCTCGCAGGCCACTGTTGAGTCTACGATAGAGGTTGTAAGACGTATATCTATTGTGTAACACTAAAATATATATTTTTTAAAGATATTCAACACTTCAAGGTGATGCTATATATAGTATCTGTGAAAATTAAAACCTCAGTTTCTTAGAAGCTTTTTTTTTACATACAGAATAAACTTTTCGAAGCCTTAAAGAAAGTATGCCTCGTCGAAAGTAGGGAGACCTGTCAATACAGTCGTTGTGGCAGGACAGATAAAGGTGTAAGCGCTTTTTCACAGGTAAAACTTATTCTATGAGTCCTCTTCAAAGCACTTACATAATCTTTTTGAGATTGTTAGTTTGGTAGTGCGTTCCAATCTTGCTAATTGCAGGGGAATTATCAAAACGGAAAATAGAAATGTTCTTTTTTTTGTATTTGCTTTATTTTATAATATAGATTAGCTATTAGAAAAACAACTCAGGTGCGCACAGGAGAAAGCGAGTTAGATTATTTACAACTTATGAACCGAGTTTTACCAAAAGATATTAGGGTCCTCGCTTGGGCCCCTGTTGATCTTACTTTTGATGCAAGGTTTTTTACTTGATTTAAGAAATTGTGTACCCTTAAGAACAAAGTGCTGTGGAAAACAACCGTAGCTTTTTTTGTTTAACGACTTTATAAAAGTTATCTGAAACTTTTTTGCAAGTAAAATTTTTTTTTACCTTTTGTAGATTTAATTGTCAGTCACGTGTTTACAAGTATTATTTTTTCCTCGGCTCACTGGATGTTGAGGTAAGCGCCAAATATTAATATCTTTTAATTCAAACTTTTTCACCACTGGTTGCAATAGAAGATGAAGTTAGCAGCACAAAAGTTTCGCGGTATTCACGACTTTCGCAACTTTTGCAAGATGGATTTAGCCAACGGCGTCTTTAATTTTGAACGTGAAATTTACAAGTTCGACATCTCCCTCTGCACTGATGTTCAAACTTTTTTAAGAGATTTTTGTGGGCAATCCGAGATAAGAAAGTAGCTGTTTTTATTTTAAGCCTGCTTTGCTCTCAAATTTGTCAATAGTATACTTGATGCAGTTTATGAATTTATCATCCACGGCTCCTCCTTTCTCTGGCATCAGGTTCGGTGCATGGTGGCCGTCTTGTTTCTAATCGGCAGCGGACTTGAGGAGCCCAGTGTAATAGACGAGTTGCTGAATGTCCAAAAAAATCCGAGAAAACCCGTTAGGTCACGGACTAGTTTTTGAATCAATAAGTATATGTTTTCTATAGATGTACAAGATGGCGCCTGAGATGCCTCTCACTCTCTACGATTGTGTTTATGAGGAACTGCAATGGCAAAGCGAAGAAAGTTACTACCGTTCCTCCCTTTGCCGTCTTCCTTTAAACTTGCTTTATAGTGGAAACCTTGAGAACTCTTGAGTCCCTAAACGATCTTTGGGAAGAGCATGCCGTAAAGGCGCTTCACATACGCAACGCAATGGCCTCCTTTAGCCAAAAGGCTTGTTCAAGGACTACAGGTCGGGTCTAAAACTTGCGAGAATACGTTCCTACCTTAACCCTTCTCTATAAGATACCGCAAAAGTTTATGTACCTACGTCGAGGAGTAAAAAATACCATAAGTTGTTATTACGCCCTAAAAATGGTACTGTTTCTGGTGGTAAATAAGCAGACAATCTTTATTAGGACTAATGATTTGTTTCCACAAGGTACTTTACAAGAAAGATTGTCAGAACTATCCAGTAATAGACTTAGAAGATTAGAAAAAAATGTAGTAAAACGCCCAGGAGTGTACAGAGAAAGTGGAGTTCTACCCTTTAATAAAAACACATCGAGTTAAACTCTTTAGTCTCCTTCCCTTTTTACCTTACCATTTTTAATAGAACTTCCTCTGGCTTCTATTCGCACTGTCCTCCTTGAATCATGCAAATTGATATTTTGTGTGTCAGTCCAACTCACTTGTTGATTGCCAATACTCTCAATACTATTATGTATAATATTATGGCGAACTACCTCGCTTATATACCGCTTGTTTACTTTTAGTCGTCTTCTTAAAGGCCTACTCAAAGTAATTTGGGTTAATAAATAAATTATAATAAACTCATAAATAAAAGAAATTATAGGATAAATAAATCATAACGAAATTTTTGGTCGTAAAGGGAACCTAATAGTTGAACCGACACCACCCAGGCTTTCTTGTAGTTGCCGAGTTTCCTTTAACAGTTGTGAAGCCCTGCATTTCATTATTCTAATAAGTTTAGTTGGTCTTAGAATTATATATAATTTTTGGTCGAATGTAAATGTAAATATGGTTTTTTAAACTTACGCTTCTAAAAACAAATCTTTTTCAGGGGTCGAGTCCATTGATAGAGCCGGTCTACTATCTAAAATCTTACGTTAAAGTTACAGAACTTAATGGTTTTTAACCAAACTCCCCTACTTTAAAACGACAACAAAGGCTGAAAGCATAGAAAAAGCTAACACTAAATATTATAAGGAAGGGCCTTAAAATGGAAGGTTATATAACGTAACCGTGTGTTTATCGGCGCAAAAAATTACTGCTAAACTTTTCACTTCTAAACTACTTTTTGGTAGCAATTTTATATAAAAAGTCAAGGGGGACGCAGGGAACGTTCTTATTGTTCTTAAGATAAGGTTAACTCTAGTTACAAACGTCTAAACTATGAGTTGGTGAAGTTTGTTTTTTGGTCTATCAACAAGAACGTATTTTACAAATATTTAATAAACTATGTGGACCGCGGCGAGTTAAATATAGTACTAAGATATAAGGTCTTCAAGGCATACAGGCCCTAAGTGGTTTATTCTGTCGTGTAATATATTTAAATAGAGAATATTAGGTGAAAAGAAGGCCAAACTAGAAAATATTTCTTTTTTAACCATCCACAGTAGTTCCATTTTTATGATATCTTCGAAGCCACTAAAAGTTTAAAGTTGCATCTGTAGTTTACTAAATATCAAAGTCTAATTCTGCTGTTCATAAGCTTTATTATCTCCATAATTGCGCAAGCCCAGTAACTACTTATAAAGGCGCCTTACTTCTATTACACTAGACTGAGGCAGGTCAAATGTTTCATATAACCATTGGTTCGTTGTTCAATGTTTAGTACGCCAACTCGTTAGGGTATGTCGTTATTAAACTATCCGCGCCTGGCAACCCAGTATATGTAACTGCTTAACAGAATTTCAAGAAAAAACTGCAAGAAGAATACAGTTTGCTTCAAAAATAGGGTTAGGTTTAAAGTACAGAATTATGTCTGGTGGTGGCGGACGGTTGCTCATTACTGTTATATGAGAGTAAGCCGAAAAGGAGAGGCTAACAAAGGGATTTTAATTATCTGACTCTGTGTTAAATAATTTTTTATTACTATTTATAAAGTCACTATTCAATGTTAATAAAGTTATAACCGAAGCAGAGAATTTATAACATATTAATATGAAAAGGACAAAATTCGAGATTAGCTTTGTTTTAATATATATAACAAATAATTAGAACCGTGACATACAAAGCAAACTCAAAACTAAAGAACAAGGGACAAACAAATAAATTTGAAAAGAATATTTAAGAGCAAACTGGGTTTTAAGGGAAAATAGCACATCTGAAGGTTAAAGCAGCACAGTCATGAACAAAGTAAGGCAGCGCTTTGTTATAAAAAATATTAACTAAACCTGAAACTCTTAATCAGGTAAAGAACTTGCTATAAACCTATTCTAGTGACGAAGGTAAAAAAAAAAATACACAGCGTTGTATACGCCAAAATAGTATTTTTTCTATACCAAGTACCTTTTCCTACTTACCCTCGAGGAAGGGTTAAAAATATTTTTCCGGTCTTTAGAGTCACCTTCCAAAAGCAAATTAAAAAATCTTTGTGCTATTAATGTGGTAAAACTCTAAGTATTATATTATTTATATAAACCCTTAGAAACTTGTGCAAATGAAAAACCTTGTGCTTTATATAAATTTAAATAGAATTTCAAAAATATAAACTTTTTAACAAACCACAGTACCACAAATTTACGTGGAAATAAAATTTAAACATCGCCTTTTCTATGAAGTATCCTTATGAAATGAAAAAAATGCCAATAATTATAATAATACTAGTCCAAATACTAGAATGGACAGCTTTACGACGACTACCAAATTATTTTTGGTCTATTATCTAAATTTATCTTTAATTTATAATTCTCTACTATTAAAGAAGTATGACTAAAGTTAAGATTTTCGATGACGTTGCATGAGGAAAGACCTTAAATAATCACCAGCACGTAATTCGACGGTTTGTTTTAACTTAAATCATAAATTTCTTTTCAACAAAAAAGTATTTAAGTGAATTAGAAACCTACCGCAACTCTTTTTCACTAAGAGTTGAAAATACGCCTTTAAGATATAAGTATATAATTTTGTGTTAGCTAGCAGGGGACGAAGAGTGGTTGGAATACTGTGGGGCATCGCTACTCATTATCAGCCTGGTAGCCGTGAGGTAAAACCGTAGTTTGCTTCGCTCGAAAGACGAGCCTTCCTGCAGGTGAGTAGGTACACAAACCGTGGGGCATGTTTTCCCATGGGCTAGCTTAGTTGGTAGGATAAGCACTTTCGAATTTTAAAATAGAACTATAATTTTCATAATAGTTCTTTGACTGAAAAATAATATTTTTCGTGTTCACAAGCACTACTGATATTAATTAAGAAAGAATTAATAGTTAAGTATATTAAAAATAACAAAAGGTGCAAAGGCCATACTTATAATGACAAGGAGTCTACACTAGCAAAAAAGTTTTTCAGGAGTATGAAGTGGAATATTACAGTTAGAAAATTGTCCTTACTATAGTTACATTAAAAAATTATCGAGTAGTTCTTTCCGACCGTGCGCTAGGCAGCTTATAACCTTCCAGAATAACGTACAACACTAATAAAAACTCGGTGCGGGCTTTAGCTCTTTAGCATTTTCTTTCTTACCTGTGTCATGCACATATTAATTGCAAACTCAAAATTTGATAATACTATAAGTAAATGAAAAAATAATTTTTTAGAAATATTGACAATAATAACCAATTATCGTTATTACATTTACTTATGTTAAGGTTATTATAACTATTACCGTTAAAATAATGTTTTCACTGTTGGTAGTCGAAGAGAAAGTATTACAACTAACATTCAATTTTGTCAAAGAACTTAAAAAGTTCGACGGGTATTTAGGTCTTTTATATATTTTATACTACAAAAGCTGTGCGTCACTATCTCAATTAGTACGCCTTTTTTTTAAAATCGACTGATAAGTTGCTAAATCTTCTCAAAATAAAAAGTGTTTCAGGAGAGCCACTTCTTTGTACTTAGACATCTTTGCTAGAAGGTTAAATTCTGTCACATTATCGGCATAAACTCGCAAACTAGGTTCCTTAGGTCCTACTTAGGAGCGGAACCATCCGTTTAGCAAAATGTTGGAATTAGCTGCTCAAGTCCTCTTGTTTTGAAAAGATATAAACGGGGGAAAACCCTTGCGATAAAACTTGGTTATAAAGATTATTTCTGAAAAAAGGCCTCTCAAGCGTTCAACTTCAGAGCAGTCCTGCAAAATATTTGCATGGATAATAAAATAACTTGTTACTTCAGGTTGTTCCTTCCAGTACTAAGCGACTTAAAAGAACTTTGCTGCTAATTAAAAATACTGTGCAACAGGTACGCTTTGTCAACACAGCTGAACTGTATAATATTAAGAAAGAAGCAGTAGCAAAGTAATAGTACCATAAATCATATTATATTAGCACTATAAGATTTAGTAACATTACAGAATAATAAGTAAAAAACTATAACGGCCAAGTTTTCCCCAGACAGTTCTAGGAATTGTTTTGGCCGCGAGTACTTTGTATCGGCGGGAGTCATAAACAAGCCTGTCTTATTAAACTGTTATGGTGATAACTGGTCCTTATTTTTTTAATTATTGATAACATTTCCTGGTACTCGATCTGGTCGTAGAAGGAAACAACGAATTTACGGGCTCTCAACAGGGTGATTGCGTACACATTGGCTTTAAGCTTGCGTTAAAGCAATTTCATATGTACATGTGGCAAAAATAATTCAATCCCTAACCCATATTATATATTTAGAGTTCATTGAGCGGTCGGCTATAGCGTGCAACTGCCCAGATTTCGCAATGGATTTCGCGAAGAAGAAATTTTGATCTGGTAATTTGTAGGTGAAATGAGGTTACGCTTCATCCGCACAAGCTTAGTAAAGGCTCGATACTTGTCTGCTGTTGCTGGAAATATTTTAATTCCTTGACGGATACCGGTGTATTGTTGGCGCTGTTGGCCAGTCATTTAAATAATTTAACTGAGCGTTTGCAAGGCAAACTAATTTTTTCCCAACCTTGTTCGGTTTGGTTCAATCTTACAAATCTAAGCTAACACTTTTGCAAAACTATATGGGTAAAGGCGAATTGCATTAGAATTTATGAGGGCGAGGTTGCCTAATCGACCATTAAAGATCGAAAAAGAGAGTCGTGTGGGTGGGGATCGGAGCCACTACCCTGAATATGGGCGTCAGTGTCCTTAACCATTGAGCTACGACGACTCTCGAACCCGGTATGATGGTTTTACATATTTAACAAACTGCCCCATTTTTTACTAGAATGCAAGAACTGATGGCAGAAACAAAAATTCAAGATTTCACGAAGCTTAGAAAACAAGTTTTACTCTTGAAACTAAAGTTTGATAGGAAATTTACTGATTTACAAGAGGATGTTAAATATATCCAGCTTTTCACACATTCTTTTTCAATCTTACCTACCAAAATTGCTATTAATTCAGCTCACCTCCGAGTGAAAGTTTTGATTACAAAATCACGTGGAATTGCATGTAAATTTTAAGGAAATACTTGGAAATCCATCCAGTCAAAAGTTTGCCTCGTTCTGGAATTGCTTTTCAAGACAGATTTGCCAAATTTTCTTGATAGATTTGACTCAATGGGTATGTATGAGAAAACTTGTTCAACTATGAATTTTATTAAAAATAAATATTGGGCAATATTAACCGACGAA